ATGGGAGGAGCCGAGCCAGTGTGGCCAGAGTCCCGCCCCACAGTGTGTCATCCATGAGTTGGACATAGCCCACTGGACCAGGTGGGGAACTTGGAGTAGGGCCAACCTGTTCGGTCCCCTTCTTTGTAAGACCTTTGCCTTCTAGGCAATTGCCAGCTCGTAAGGAACTCTTTTGCTTTGGCCTGTGGGAGGAAACAAGGCAACTTAGCTTTGGGAACCCGGTGGCAGAGGGTGCGTCAGTGCTGAGAGAAGAGGCTCCTCACCCCTGAATCGAGCGAGCTGCTCAGCGTTGCTTCCTGGAGGGCCTCGGTGAGCCAGGGCCACCAGCAGTGCCCCGGGGTGTGGCCCAGGACGAGTGAAGAGCCCGTCTCTAGTGAGCGATGGAGGCAGCGGGGGCAGGGTCTTGCTCAGCAGTGGGCAGGGCGCGGGGAGCTGGGGCCTGAGGTGGGAAGTTGTCGTAAGCAGACATGAGTCGGCTCTGGGGGCTTTCAAGAGAGCTTGGGCATCCTATAATAGCAGGCGGCGGGCAGGAGACAGTCAGGAAAATCACCCTCGTGCCCTTTATGGAACTCCATTTTTTTTTAAACCTAGATCCATGTAACCTAGCACGTAACCTCGCAGCCACGTTACCCGAAGACCAAGCCCGAGCAGTGGGGGCTCAGTGCTGGGGCCCTCACCCACTCGGGACCTTGGAGGCAGACAACCTCAGCCCCCTCACGGCTCCCCGCACCATGTGCACCCTCCTCCTCTCCACTCAGACATCTGCTCCCCACCCACTTCTCCATCACCACCTCCCACCTCTCATCGCCGTCCCAGCCGATGCTGTCTGTCTGCACACCCTCCTCCCTACCCTGTCACCGAGTCACGGGCCCTGGAGTCTGTCCGCCCACCTCTGCAGCTTTCCTGGCAGACGGGCTCCCTGCGCCCCAGTGGCCATTTCCAGCCCTGGGCATTTTCTGCCTGCAGCAGCAGCTAACTCCATTCTTGGACAGTTTTGGCTCTAAGTTCCCAAGACAAGCCCGGTCTGCCTCCTGAGAAGACTCGCTGGTCCTAGGTACATCCTCTGGAGCACTGTAAACCAGTCCACACTGTTTACATGGCAGCTTTTCTCTCAGACGCCGGGCACTAGAGTGATGTTCACTCCACATGCACTCCCCCCTTGCCCAGTCACTTTTTTCGTCCCCCTCCTCTGCCCTCCCTCCCTGTCACCCCTGCCCTGGCCATGTACACAGCACTCACTGCCTCATGTATGCTCCACCCACTTTGGTTTCCCCCTCCTCCAAGTCTTCTGTCACAAGATGAATTTCCCCAGAACATCGACTAGCACACATCTCCTTACTGACAGTGGCTTGCAGAGCCCTTACTACTTAACCTGGCACTTTAAGGTCTTCTTTCCTCTGCCTCAAAATTGTGTACAATTGCTTCCTTACACAAAATCCCCAGCTGCAAGCAAACAGTGAAATTCACCGGCACCAGAATTTCTCCCATCAGTGCCCCTGACTCTGGGACCCAGTCCACACTCCCTGCTCCCCCTCCTCTAATCCTGCGTTGGCTCTGGAGAGGTCTGACTGCCTGAGGCTCTGAAAGGAGCTCCTCCACACCCTGCAGGACCCAGTCCTCACCTCTGTGCTTTGCAAAGGCTATTTCTGATGAGTCCCCTGCTAAGTCCTCGGAGACCTGCCCCACACCCTTTCGTAGGTGGGTGCTCAGACCATGACTTTTGAGGACAATGATGTGAGAGACCCAGCTGCCAGGACTCCCTAAGTCTCCTCCCTGTTTTATTCACGTGTCCCTCCAGGCTTTGGGCTTCCCTGTGTTTCCAGCAGCCTCTGCAGACAACTCAGAGAGTGCCGTCAGGTGCTGGGAAACCAGCGCTCCCCTGAGCTGAAGGCGTGGAGAGGAGGCAGTGGACTGTGGGGGAACCATCTGGCCACTGGCAATTACTCAGGTTCCCAACTGTTTGATCAGGGCTTGAGCTCTTCACATCTTCACAGAGTCCTCAAGTTCTTCCCAAGAAAACTTTTCCAGGATGGCTCTGGAGGGGTCACTCCCTCCCTGGGCCATTCATTAAAGAAAAGAAAGAAAAATGGCCGCATACCTGCCAATTCCTAGGCATTCTCTCTGAACACTGAATTCTTACTCGTGTTCTCAGCTTCCCCTGCTGTTTTCAAGTGCTGTAACTGCTTTGTCTCCAATTTCATCTTTCTCCAGTGCTTTTATGTTTCAGGGTGTCCTTTTGCTTCTCTGTGCACAGCAGGATGTTTTAGACACAGGCTCCATGGTCAGGAACCCAGGAGCCGGCAGCGTGGGAGCTGAGGGCTCAGGTCCAAACACACAAACCCAAGCCTACCCTGGGCTCTGCCGCCCGCACTGTGCCAGTTTCCTTGTCTCCGGAAGTGACAGCACCCATCCACGTGTTGTGAGGACCAGGCCACATACATGTGACGTGCTTCGCAGGCATATCACACACACACACACACCACAGGTGCTGCCAGTCCCCTGGGACTCTCCAACGAGGTGTGTACACCCTGCGTGCCAGGCTGTGAGACGCCCGAGAAGGGCCATTGAAGGTCGTGCTAGTCAGGATGCAGCTGTTAAGAGAGGACATGGAGGCCCTGATGACCGAACCTGGTCCTAGAGTCACATGACTCAGTTACTAGAAAACCTGTGATACTATTTTGCTTGGTTAGTCCAGGCATTTTCTGTTTATCAACAGTGTCTATTAGGGAAACCAGGTGATGATAATCCGTTTTGTAATTTCTGAGAAGGGGCAGGGTTTTGGAGACTATGATAAGAGAGAGGTGCCATTACTCTGTAGGGGCTTGGAAATCTAGTCACCCGCCCATCCCTTCTGGACCTAGGGGGAGCACACTCAAAGATCAGTGAATAAGGACAGACGATTTTGCCCTCGGCAAACACCTTATAACCCATCACCCCAGATGAAAGGCTCTGGCAGAATGTTGATCAGCAAAACATGGCTTAGGCCAGGAAGCCCAAGCAAGGCCTCTTTATTCCTGAGTTAGTACTGCGGACCACAGGGACAGTGGTTACTGTGACGGTGACTCCTTTCCCCTTGATTCTATCAAGGACAGAAGGGCGAGGGAAGGGAGGACCTACTCCAGGGGCCCAGAGGGCACTCAGCGGAGCCTGCCTTACCAGGCTTAACCCACTGCCTGCCCCATCTGCTTAGAGGTCGGCGGCATCATCACTCCCTTGCTGCAGCGAACAAACTAAGGCACAGAGGAAGCAGGTTGCCCAGGGTCGCGCAGTGTGAAGGCAGAGCTGGGAACTTGAACTCAGGCAGGCTCGATCATTGCTTACCTGTTCTGGGTCGCCTGCCGGTTGCTGAGAGCCTTTCTCCATCACACCAGAGCCTCCTGACAGGAGCCATTTACAACGTGGAAGAACAGAACGTTTAAAACCCGGGGGGGGGGGGGAGAGAATAAGCTGGTTGGAAGTGGAGCAGCACAGAAGAGCCGCTGCAGGCGAAGGTGAAGCACTGTAGTGGGTGCCAGGCAACCCTGCCTGCAGGTGAGAATCACCTGGACAGAGTTTAACAAACACCGGGGCTTGCATTCTCCCCCCCCCCAGCCCCCGAGACTTTTAGTTGGTGTAGAGAGCCAGACACTCGGAGGTTAAAAGCCTCCTCGAATGAAGATCACGTAGAGGTGAGTGGACAACCACCAACCTCAGTGAAGTTCCCTGGCTTCCTGAGGTTCAGTTTTTCCTGGGTTCTTTTTTTTTTTTTTTTTTTTTAAGATTTTAATTATCTACTTTTGGAGGGAAAGGGAGAGAGAAAGAGGAGGAGAGAAATATCAATGTGTTGTCGCCTCTTGTGCGCCTTCCATTGGGGCCCTGGCCTGCAACCCAGGCATGTGCCCTGACTGGGAATCAAACTGGTGACCCTTTGGTTCCCAGGCCAGCGCTCAATTTACTGAGCCACACCAGCCAGGGCTCTCCTGGGTTCTTTGTCAGACACATTTGGCCGTTTAATTACTTACTGCCCCTGCCTTACCCCTTGCTGACAGAATCCTAATTTTGTACAAGTATCGGAGTAGCAGTGTGGTCATGGAAGACAGGCCCGGTGCTCCCCAGACCTGATCGCTCTAGGTCCAACAAGAACCCACCCTCTACCCCCCCTTCACATCCGAGAGACGGGCATGTGGCCAGTTCTGACCAATGATGTGGAAAGGAGCAAATCTCTTGGAAAGATTTTCCTCTTTAAAAGGGAGAGAAGCCCTGGCCATGAGGCTTGGCTGGAGCATCGTTCTGTGAACAATAAAGGTCATAGGTTCAATTCCCAGTCGGGACATGTATGGGAGGCAACCAATCAATGTCTCTCACATCAGTGTTTTTCCCTCTCTCTGTCCCCCCTTCCCTTCTCTCTAAAATTAATAAATAAATACAAGGAGGGGGCCAAAAAACCCAGAGTTTTCAATATATTTTTTAAAGATTTTATTTATTTTTAGAGAGAGGGGAAGGGAGGGAGAAAAACACAATGTTCAAGAGAAAAATGGATCAGTTGCCTCTCGCACACCCCCAACCAGCATGTCCCCTGACGGGGAATTGAACTGGTGACCTTTTGGTTTGCGGGAAGATGTCAAATTCAATGAGCCACACCAGTCAGGCATGGAGTGACAGCAAATCTTAAAAATCTGAATTTCTAAGCAGTGGAGAGTCCTTAAATAGCAGCAGTTACTGTCATCAGCCTGGCTGCACCTCCAAAATGAGCTTTCTTTTCATGCCGTAAGTCCACACAGTCCAGAGTCAGCGCCCCTGTAGCCTCCTTGTATGGCTCCGCCCCAAGGACCCGAGTGTCAGCCCCGAGGAGCTGTGCACACCGCCCTGGAGGCGCACCCAGCAGACACCACCACGTTTCCCTCACCCACTCCTTACTCCTTCACACACTCTGAAGTTGGTCACCGTTGTCTCGGCCCCTCAGTTCGAGCTCAAAGAATGCCACAGGTGCGAGCAGTTTGCACAGACTTTATTTCTCACCCATTAAGCACAGGGAAGTCCGGGCCGGCAGAGGGTTCGCAGCCGCCTGCCCTGGCCCACAGACAGGCCTGCGGCTGGCGGTGCGGGCAAGGGGTCCTACTCCTACTGCAGACACTGTGGGTTTTGACGACGACGCTGTTCTCAGGTCTGTTTACACGGTGGGGTGTGGGGAGGGTCCATTTCTTACACTAAAAATATATACTCTGGAATCTCTAAAACAAAAATATCTCTATCTCTACATGAAACCTACTAGAAAGAAGAACTTAGAAAACAAGGGCAATGTACCAGCACCTCAAGTTGTCCCCTCCCACGGGAAGGCTGCTCTGTCCGCCACCCGCTAGTTTGGGACGGCAGCCGGCAGCCGTATCTGACCAACCAGACAGATAAATGCAGGTAAACAAGAGGGAGGCCTATCATCTTGGAGGAGTGAATGTGGGAGAAAGGAGCAGGGGGAGGATTTTGGCCTCCTTTGCAGTAGTAATTGCACGTTCAGTTCGGTGCTCCTGTTTCTAACATCCCTGCGGGTGTGAAAACCTGCTCAGAGCCCCCAGCTCTGCTGACGTCGGCGGGGCCCAGGACGTGCCCTGGGTGGGTTTCCCTCTCTCAGGCAGCACTAATGCCGTCGGCCAGAAGAAAAGGTTCTTGTTCGTCAGTGCCGAAAGTGGGCTCAGTTGAAGACAAATGTCATTCCCTCTCTCTTCAGGATGTTTAGAACCATTCCATTCCCCTGCAGCACGGTCTCCTGAGAGAACCGTGCCTGTGGATGTCACTCCCCGCCCCAGGTTTCCCCGTGGAAACCATCGGCATAGCGCTCCTTCCCTCCGTTCACGCTTGAAGCAGCGATGGACCCCGCTACTTCACGCCTCTTTTGGTTACAAAAATCAGCCTCATTTCTGGTAAAGAAATATTAACGGAGTCGAGTGCCCATTCTCTGTAGTTAGTGTAAGAGACCAGGGTGCCAAGAATCATAAAAAATAGATTTTGGTAGAAAAAAAAATCACTTCTATTTGGTCGTAGAATGTCTTTTTCTGTTTCTACTGAAATACGGATGAGCCTGAGGGCTTGAGAATCCACAGACCCCCATCCCAAATAAGAAAAGTAACCATAACGTCCCCTTTGTGAGAAAGCCCAGAACTATTCAACCTCCTCACCTCTCTCACTGTCCTCAAAACTGGTGTCTTTTAGAACCTCTGATCAGGAATTTCTATCCAAGGAACTTCTATTTAAAGACTGAGAAAAAGGCAGGAAGAAGAGGAAATAGTGCCCGAAAGGCTGCGTTAGCGAAAGGGGTGGACCTCGGTGGTGTCCTTCGCGGCCAGCCAGGGCCCACAGGAAGGACCTCTCCCTCAGGGCAGGCCCGACAGCTACAACCAAAAGAAAGCCGAGAAGGCTCAGGGCTCCCGACTGTCTTGCCAGGATGTGACTTGGAAATGTGGCAAGTCCCAGGGAATTGCAGTAACAAACCAGCAAACACTGTTTAAAATCCCAGTGTTACCAGTAGACAGTCAGTCTAGAACTCTGGAGAGTCTCTCTCCCCCACTGGCCAAGGTGGTGGTAGGGGGCGGTTCTTACACTGAGCATGGGGAAAGCTAGAAATATCAATTGATAGGGCCCAAATGCAAAAAAACCCAAAAAACCTAGCAAGATAATTGAATAGAGAAAAATCCCTCCCCTGCCCCATTCTAGATTGGGAGTGGGATCAGGGGAAGGCAGGCACGTGTACTATAGAAGTCAAAATGGCACAGGGGAGATGCTGGACCAGAGAGTCCTGTCAGTCTAGCCTGGGGAAGGAAGGGATTAGTTGGGAGATGGACCCATCCGAAGTGCATAAGAGTGTTGGAAGTTGGTTGGTCATTTTGAGAAAGCACCTGGTCCATACCATACCCAAGCCAATATAAACCCAGGGGAACAAACAGGCTCCTGGGCTCCTGACCTGGACGCATGCTGTGCACTGGCCTATTCTCTCCATGGGCCACGTGGTCTTGACAGCCACACAGCCCATGGCCTCCTGGAGAGAGCCTCTTTCTCTCTTGCCTGCCTGGTGATGCACTAGTGTGTGCATTTGCACAACTCTCACCTAGAGCATGCAACCATGTGCCCTGGCAGGGCCATGTGGACTCCACACGCAGGGTCTAGGAGGGATCCTGAAATAAACAGCAGCCAGGAACAAGCTAAGCTACCTGGGTGGGACTAAGACCACTTAGCAGCCACCTACCTGTGGGCTCCAAAGGACTGTGCTTTAAAATGGAGCAGAAACTCTGGGCACTGGCTTTTGTCTTGGTCTTGCTGAGGATGGTTGGACTATTTCCACAGCAGAAAGAGGAGATGGGCTTTGAGGCAGGAGTCTGCCATTCTCCCAGACCACGCAGAACCTGAATAAAACCTCTTTCCTTTTGCATCAGCATCTGCCTCATTAGTTTGGTTTTATGGTGGCAGGCAGCTGGACCTCCATTTTTGGTTCAGTTATGCCAGGAGAAGGTGCTAACTCTCTTGCAGAAGAAGAAATTTAGAGAAGTTGATAAAGTAGCAGAACACATTGAATAGTACTTCTTATGCTAGTTAAAAGGAAAGCCAGCAAACCTGGGCCCGTCCTCCTATGCTCCCGGAAAGCGTGAAGACTCAGAACATGGAAATCAATGGAGAAGATGCAGGGAGAATTGCTGACCCGGGAAAGGAAAGTCTGGGAGTTGAGTAGGTAGCAAATAAAGCAGAAGTGGGAACTATCTGTGCTGAATGACCAAAAACCACAGCTTCCTGGATCAGAGACCTCTTGAGAGTCACAGTGGTCAGAGCCTGAGATATCAACCAAGCCTGAGACGAAGCATATGCCATATTTTTATCAAACATTTGTAACTAACATAAAAGCCAGTGACATCCCAGATGAAGAGAAATAGCAAATGTTCACACTGCCTTTTGGTTCACTAACAACCCCTCTATCCTAAAGGCAAATTTATATGGATATGGAGACAGGGAAAGGAGTTGTATGTGGTAAAGACCAGACCTCCCAATTATTCCATTATCAGAAGCCTGAAATCATATATAGCCACAAAGAGCTAGCCTGCATTTTATGCAATCAAATGTATCTGGCAATTTCACAGCATATTTCTGCTAGCCTTCACCTCTCTCGACCCTCCCAAAGTCACAGGCTAGGAAGCAACCCACACTCTCAGCAATGCCTGCCCTTCGGCCTTTGAACCAAGATCGCACTCATCGTCACTTTCTTAGATCCTGGCCTGCACACAACCAGCTCCTCAGGGCACTGGCCCACCGACACCCAGTTGCTCCTGAAACGTGCCCGGGGCCCTAAAAGAGGCAGACTGCTTCTCTGGCCCAACCAAACCTGGGCACCGAAAGCACCTACCTACCTGCCTTGCTTTCTACCCCTCAGTCAGTTTCTCCTTATTGTTGGATTAAACACCTTTTTCGATAGACTAATCAGCCTATACTTGTCCTCAAGCTCTTCGGTTGGAGAATTCTGAGAGCGGAACTCCTGGATGCGGGGGTGATGGTATTAGTTTGATATCCCCGCAGCTCAGGTGCACAGACTGTTTAATAGCAACGATGAAAGCTCAGTTGACAAACACACACGCACATGCGCACATATGCACACACACGAACACACACCACTGCAGCGCCACGCCCACTCCCCGCCTCCCGCCCCAAACACAGCCCGCTTGGCCCTGACACCACGCTCACCTGTCAGACCCGAGCAAGGAAGCAGCCAGGCCTGAGACAGAGTGTTGGGTGGGAGCTGGGAAACGAGAGAGAGTAAGACTAGGGATTGATTCCCACCACTGAGATGTAGCAGAAATGAGCCTGGCCACTGTCTGAGAAAAATCTGGTGGCCTAAAGACTGGCATGCCCTTCTAAAGCAGCTAACTAACGTTCCTGAGGTGCAGTAACCTGGGAGGGTTTGACTTGGAAGGATTCGCAAGTGCGCATGTGGTCCTGTAGCTGCTCTGCACAGAGTTCCCCACCGCGGGCTCCCTGCTCTGCGGAAGCCTAGCAGACGCCAGACATCAGTGTACTAGGAGAGAGATTCTTCTGAGTGCTACTGTCACCTAGTCTTGTTGCATAAAGGGCCTTTTCCTCTTCCATTCCTTACAGCCTCGCTGAGGCTAGGGGAATGGGTGACAGTCACCAGCCACCCTACACTGAGGTGGCAGGAGAAGATGGGAGGAGCAAGACAGAGGGAGAGCGCAGGGGCGTTCTCAGGAAGCAAAGGTAAGAAAGGCCGTAAGCTCAAGGAATGAGTGGTAGAGAATGAGCAGGAATGAGCAGAGAAAGCTGGCAGGAAAGCTGTTCCCACCGACAGGTTGGGATTAGGTAGGTAAATGGGTACAATGATTACATCTACCCTAAAATGACAAAATGTGAAGCTTCGGCTCACAAAGATTTTAATGCCCATTTAGTTGAAAGAATTTCTGTTCCTGTCTGTGCCACAGGAAAGGAAGTTGAAGCTCTTCCTAGACCTTGTACCCATTCAGCCTTGTAAGATCAGAAAAGCCAGGAACAATACCCACAATGCAAAGGGACAGCATTGAACATTTGAAAGCAGCCTGAAGTGCAGCAGATCAGACTGCTGCTTGTTTACAGCAGGCATCCGTTCTGAGTGGGTGGTGTCCATCCTATACCAGTTGTTAAATATTTTGAAAATCATCTGTGTATTAAAATAATTATGGCTCTAAGAAATAGGGACTATGAAAGAAATGCAGGATTCCTTCAGTATCACAGGTCCTTGGAGTAGGTCTACAATACACTAATATACTTTAAGAGTCTAAGAAATGCAAAATTCAGTAAAGGTATGTAGCCACCTCTTCACCTATGAGAGGAGGGCACATTGAGAGAATGTCACACTGTACAAAGATTTTCCAGGATGGAAAACTTATATGATTGGATTCCCTGGGTGTTGACTTGTTTGCTGGTCACATTCTGTGTGCAAAGAAAGGGAAGATCTATACATACTGGAGCCCAAACCATTGACATTCATTGCAAAAGAGAAGAGAAAAACTATAAATATAGTTGTAAACTAAACATCAAAATGAATTTCACCACTTACAGTTCCTTTCCCAATGTGGCTTTTTATATCTGAGAGCCAGACATTTGTCAGCCAACAGCAATTCCTGATGTTGAAGAAACCACGTGGCTGAAGGTGGCTTTGGTCCACTGAGGATGATGGTTCGCTACTAAGGCAGCTAAGGAGACATGACGTAAGCACGTGGACGTCTCCGGGAATCACACGTGTCCTCCAGAGACAGCAGCAAGACACGGATGTTCCCACAACATGGCCAGTAAAACTCCTTGTCTTCCTTTCTACCCACACACAACTATCACCAAACCTTTCCCAAATATTCAGAAAGCAGACACCATGACAAATTTTCAGCCTATGAAGTCCTGCCTAGTGTCTAAACTAATTCCTTTTGTAGCGATTTAAGTTCAGTCTCTTACTCTATCCTCGGTGAAACCAAGAGAAGCTCCTCGTCCTCACTTATCATCACTGATTTTTCCCCGAGCCTTTTCCTATATGAGCCGAACACGAACAGCTCCGATGTCCCTCCCGGCCCTTCCATCATCCAGGGATCTTGCTGAGCTGTGTGGTCTGCTGCTGGGGAACAATGAAGATGCACCCAGGTCAGAGGTGCCTTCTGGCCACGGTGACGGGAACTGCCAATGCCCAGGTCACTGACCTTCCTGATAGCCTCTCCTCTGAGTGTCCCCGAGAGCAGGCAATTCGACCGAGGCCCAGGGCCGCCTGGGAGCCTACGGATCCTGTGGGACTGGAGAGCCTCCCTGCTGCTCTCTGCTCCCACTTCCTTTCCTTATCCTTTAGGAAGAGGAACCTTGCCGAAGGAATCCTCAATGGCGGAATGGATCCACATGGCTTGGCAGGCCAGCAGAGAATTTCAGAGAAAATGCCTGGAAAATGGGAAGCTGGGTCTTCAATGGTGGCAGTTCTGAAGAGAAAGACAAGGAAGAGGAGAAGTACCACCGGGAGGTGGCCTTCTGCTTCCGTATTCCCATCCGGCTGCTGGAATGGAGTGGCCGGGCGCCCTCCGGTGCACACCGTGAATGACCGAACGCGCCGGCCTGGTTTTGACACGACCAAGGACAGGGCCAGACTTGGTCTTGCTCCTTCTCTGGGAGATTCGCCATCTTCTCTGTAACCAGAACTTCCCTGAAGCACCTCAGGGCCCAAATCTTCCATCCCAGCAAAGACTTTTAGTTGAAGAGACTGAACAGAAAGAAGTGTTACAATTAGACAAAAAGGGAACACATGATTCATTCCTGCTTTTAACACAATACTTTGAAGATGTCACCACCATTTGGATCTGGCTATATTTTAAGTTCATTTACAAGTAGACTAGTTCTCAACTAAAAATAACCTTGTGTGTTATACGTTTCAACAGCTGCCTGGATTTTCTTCTGAAGGAAACAAGATTCTATATTTCACTCACATTCAGCACAGATTTATTTTAACCCATTTGATGAAGAAGTAACCAGTTTCTCCTTACAGCAGCTTTATGATGGAGGCTGTTGGTTTTATGCCCATTTTCCTGCTAAGTAAACTGAGAGCCAGACACAGTGGCCTGCCAGATTATTCATGGAATTAATATTTAAACTAGGTCTCCTCATTTCTGGCCTACTCCTTTGTTGTTGTTGTTGTTAACTAGAGAAGTTGCCTTTAATAAAATCTAAGATCTTCCCTTCAGTTATCTGCCTAGCTAAACTTAAATGGAGTTGGGACTAAATTATTCAATCTGGGTGCATAGCCTGCCTCACTGCAAAGATGCCTCAAGTTCTTCCATTTTCAGCGTTACCCTGATTTAATGTGGTCTATGCTACTGACAAACAAACAGTACACGGAATTTAGTTTCCAAAATACAAAAACAGTTGCAATTTAATATTTCAAAATCTTTGCTTGGCAAAAATTCTCATGATGGAATTGTGTCGATACTATCAACACTATCTGAATATTTTAGCAACTTCCCAGTTTGTGTGGTTGCAGGAAGCAGCAATGCTGTCTGTAGGCTTCGAAATGGGGACTAGCCAGAAAACTAAGGGAACTACATTTACATCCTCAAATAATTCCATCTTGACTCTGGACCTATATAAATGGGCAGCTCAAAATGGCATATCTGTTTAAACAGCTAAAAAACATTTTTACTTTCCTTAGGCTTACAGTTATTCTCATGAGATTAGTAGCAGTCCTGGAAGGGACATTTATTAGACAAATTCAATTTCACAGCTAAAACATCTTGTACTTTTAACATGATTACTATTTTTAAAAGCCAGAAATAAATAAAAAGCATTACAGTTCTCTTTACCTCTTTTCCTTTGTAGTCCCAGAATTCATACTGAGAGCTTTCCAGACTGTGGTTTTAGGCATTTCGTCAGATATATTGATCTCAGAGGGGTCACATCTGAAATGAATACATCGGACAGTAAGTGCCAGATGCACCAATAAAATCCAGACCTCCGTCTACAACGACCCGTGCCCGCTCCCCGGCAGAAGGTCTGAAGGAGCCCAGCTGACAGCTCTCGGGAGCACTGGGAACCAGATGGTCGGAATGGAGAGAGGCAAGGTGACCCACAGGGTGCTAAGGGCTGGGCTGATGTGCCAGGTGGTGGCTGGCCCTGCCCCCACAGTTCTGCACTCCTTTCGGAGGCCACCCTGGGGATGCTGAGGATGGCGCTGAGATGCCAATAGTGGTAGCATCAGGAGCTCCCATTTACTGAGCGCTCACTGTGTGCCAAGTACGAGGCTAAGCATTCTTCATTCATTTCCTCAATTACATGGCCAAATGTTTTACGTTTGTAGTTAACAAAGGACTTTTATAGTATATTATCTTAACTATCACAGATTCAGAGATGACTAACATCCTCATTTGAAGATGCAGAATCCACAGCTCCCAGGGCTAAGTGACTATCCAAGGAGAAAAATCAGTAAGAGGAGCATCGAGACCTTGATCCAGTCCTTGGTCATCTAGAACCCCAGAGTACTCTGTAGCTTTCTGTAAGCCAGAGTGCCTCCTTCCGAAAGGCCAGGAGAGCAGGCAGCAGGCATCCCAGCAGAGGAGGAACATAGCTCCTACTTTGCTGCCAGAGAATTCAAGGCCTATGGCTCCTTCTAGTACACCCTGTAGAAAGCTTAGTAAGGTCCAAAGATTCCATTTCTTCTGGGGTCAGTTTAAAAAACAAAAAGTCAAACTCATAGTAACAGAGAGTAGAGTGGTGGTCAGCAGGGGCTGGGCGGTGGGGGAAAGGGAAGATAGGGATCAGAGGGTGCAAACTTTCAGTTAATGGATTCCGAAGACCTATGAACGGCATGGTTAATAATAAAGTATTGTACACTCGACGTTTTATGGCTTCCAATGGAAGTATTAAATTACATATCTTCCTTTATTACACATGTTTAATCTGCTAAGAAAGTGGATTCCGAGTGTTCTCACCACACAAAAAAAGAAAGACTGGTGACTGTAGGAGGTGATGGATATGCTATTAGTTCGATTGCAGTAATCACTTCACAATGCACACATACATCAACATTTTGTAAATGTTCAAAGAAAAGACTGTCCCCACTTCCACCTCAGTATAAACCACAAGCAACTCAATGATTCAGCAATGAACTGTCCAGGATTCAGATGACCTAGATCCCCTGTCTTCCCTTTCTGCCCTCTCCTGACCTCTGGGCCTCTCTCTCTGCTTGTGTGTATCTCTGACCGAGCAGAAACGAAATGCCAGGAGTGATACCACAAATGGACTAATTAGGCTTCCTGCAACTTGTGGTGGGCAAGAGCTTCAACAGAGAAAGGGGCTGAAGGCGCCACGAGCCAAGCTGGAATGGACTGTCTCTACCCACCCCTGGCCCAAAGGCTGGCCCAAACTTGGGGGTTTCATGGCTACCAGGCTGAGAACTCTCTGAAAATAAGGATCACAGATCCTATTCATCTATGGAAGGTAGCAGAGAAAGGCAGAAGCAGCCCTGGTTTGAGGAACACACAGACTAGGGTTTGAATCTTAAACTTTCTACTTAGCAGCATTATGACCTTGGGCAAATTACCTGAAACCATTCGAGCCTCAGTTTCCTCACTGAACAAATGTGGGTAGAGAGACTTATATCAGAAAGTTGTTGTAAAGATGAAATGATCACAGAGTAAATCTTCTAGCATAGTCCTGTCACAGAGAAGACCCTCAGTATGTGGGTGGGCTCTCCTTGTGACTCCCAGTACTGGTCTAGTGTCTTGCCCGTGGCCTGCACTAAACCATGCAAGGAGAAGGTGTGTTCACACATTGGGACTGGGAGGCTGAGTGTGAGCCTCCCAGTCACTGCTTACACCAGTCACTGCAGTCGTGAACCCCCTACCCCAACACACACACAGAGTCAGACATTTATGGAATAACCAAAGCAGTCAACTCCTTGGTGTTGTGCGCATTTTACCTGAAACTGTTGTTCTTTCCAGGACTGCTTAGTAACTTCCTGCTCTCTAAGGGGAACTTGTCTCCCCCCATTTCTAACATTTTCTCAGCCTCCTGGAAGAAAAGGAGATGCAATTATATCATGGACTGAGTAAAACCCTAAGTCAACACCAGCCCATTTTTTTCTATCACCACAATTTCTATCAAATTTTCCTCACGTTTTTAGTAAAAAAGTATAATTATGTTCTTTCCCATATTTAACTCATCACAAAAAGAAAAACAACTAAGTGTTTGTACCTCTGAAATGGTATTTCTTTTAAATCCTGAATCTAGACCCAACTTCCAATGTACTGGAAACACAGGGGGAAGACGAACTGTTAAATGACACCAAGGGACCCACTTAGTAAAATCTAAACAGTGGGAAACCCTACAGGTCAAAGACCCAGATTTTTCAACAAAAATTCAAAAAGATAGAAGGGGAACTCCTAAAGAGATTTAAGAAATATATTGACCAATGGCAACATATAGATCCTATTTGGATCCTGAGTCAACCATATTATTAAAAAATAAAAATAAGGAAACTGGGGGAAATATGAATACTGAATGTTCTTTCTGCTTTTGTGTTCATTTCAAATGTTCCATAAAAATGTTTCCTTAGAAATAATTCCATTAGTACAAAGGAAATAATTATAGAGAAAAATATTTACAAAGATGCTTAAATTAGTATAATTAATAATAAAACCTAAAACATCTATAAACTTGAATAAAGGGAGAATGTTTAGATTATGATAATATTATAGAATATTATACAGCCACTATAAGAATAAATATCATTATTTGTTGTATAGACATATAGAAACATGAAAGTGTCATGAAATGAAGTTAAGGAAGAAAAATCAGGATATATATAGTGCCCCCTCAAATATACAATTATTACACCTATGTGAAAACTATGTCAAGGATTTAAAGATAACATAAAGAGCCCTGACTGGTGTGGCTCAGTGGGTTGGGTGTCATCTCTCAAATCAAAATGTTGCCAGTTTGATTCCAAGTCAGGGCACATGCCTGGCTTGCAGGCCAAGTCCCTGGGTGGGGGTGTGCGAGAGGCAACTGATTGATGTTTCTCTCCTTCTCTTTTTGCCTCCTTTCCCCTCTCTCTAAAAATAAATAAAATCTAAAAGAAACAAAAAACAAAACAAAACAAAGGAAGACAGAACATAAAAAAATGACCATAAATGTTGAATGCTGACATAAAATTTGGGGGTGAAATCTTCATTTTTTAACTTGATTTAGTTTAAAAAATAATTTTATAAAGGATTTTCTTAGAAGTATGTACAATATAGAAAGTAGCGCAATATAATGTTTACTAACCACCTTATACTTAACACACAAAAGACATCTCTTGACTTCCCTTTCAAACATGCTGGTAGGTCTTCCCCATCTTAATAAAGACCACGACCATCCATCTCATTGTTCACCCCCAAATGCAAGTGTTGTCCTTGATTTCTCTCTCACCCATCCTCACTAGAATTAGCAAAACCTCTATCTTCAAAATAAGTCCCAAATCCAGCCATTTTCACCAACTCTCCCTTAGCCTAAGCCACCATCACCTCTTGGCTGAACTCTTGCCACAGATGTCTAACTCATCTCTGGCTACCTCCCCCCCACCCCCAAGCCTCACTGGCTTTATGTTCTTCCAGCACACCAAGCTCATCCTGCCTTAAGACCTTCGCATGTGCTCTTCCCCTGGCCTGGAATGTTCCTACTACCAGTTGTTATCACAGCTTGCCCTTGACTTCAGGTTTCTGCTGAGATGTCTCCTTAAAGGACCCATCACTGATCACCCTGAATAATAAAGTCACTTCCTCAACCCTTTACTTTCTTCTTAAAAGACATCACTACCCAAAATTTTATGTAAGTAAATAAATATAAATAGGTGTGTGTATTTATATCTATATGTATATACACATATATGTATACATATATATAATTTTTAAATTTTGTTTATAAAGTTTTTGGATGCCTGAAAACTTTATATTTTGTGTAGTGATTTCTATCAGTCCTCTCTTTAAAGTTTTCTCCCATTGCTTCTGTGCTTATAACTGGTAACATTTACTTACTAATACAAAATAGACCAATGGAATAGAATCAGGAGCCGGAAATAAATCCACCCATATATGGTCAACTAGTACTTGACAAGGGAGCCAAGAATACTCAAGGGAGAAAGGATAATCTCTTTTTTTTTTTATTTATTTTTATTTTTTATTATTTATTTATCTTTAGAGGGGAAGGGGGGGAAGGAGAGAGGGAGAGAAAATTTGAGGGTGAACTCTTAATAAACGTCACTGGGGAAACTGGATATTCACATGCAAAAGAAAGAAATGGGACTTCTGCTTTACACCATTCACAAAAGTTCTCAAAATGGATTAAAGACTTAAATGTAAAACCTGAAACAGTAAAACTCCTGGAAGAAAATATAGAGAAAAAGCTCTTTGACACTGTTCTTGGCAAAGACGTGGATATGACCCCAAAAGTACAAGCAACAAAAGTGAAAATAAACAAGTGGAACTACATCAAACAAAAAACTTCTGTGCAACAAAATAAATGATCGACAAAATGAAAAGGCAACAAGTGGGAGAAAATATTTACAAACCATATGTCCGAAAAGGAGTTAATATAAAAATATATAAAGAACACACACAACTCAATAGCAAAAGACAAAAACAAACCAAATAATCCAATTAAAAATAGGCAACGAACCTCAATAGACATTTTCCCAAAGAAGACACACAAAGACCAACAGGTATATGAAAAAGTGGCTCAACATTCCAAATCATCAGGGAAAGGCAAATCAAAACCACAATAAAATATCACCTCACACCTGTTAGAAGGGCTATTATCAAAAACACAAGAGATTGAGCCCAGGCCTGAGAACCAAAGGATCACGGTTCCATTCCCAGTCAGGGCACATGCCTGGGTTGCAGGCCAGTTCCCAGCAGGGGACACACTAGCGGCAACCATACATTGATACTTCTCTCCCTCTCTCCTTCCCTTTCCCTCTAAAGATAAATAAATAAAATCTTAAAAAAAAAAAAAAAGACGAGATAACAAGTGCTGGCAAGGATGTGAAAAAAGACCCTGGTTGGCATAGCCCAGTGGATTGAGTGCCGGCCTGCAAATCAGAGGGCCTCTGGTTCAATTCCCAGTCAGGGCACATGCCTGGGTGGCAGGCCAGGTCCCCAGTTGGGGGGCACGTGAGAGGCAACCACACATTGATGTTTCTATCACTCTCTTTCTCCTTCTCTTCTCCTCTCTCTAAAAATAGATAAAATCTTAAAAAAAAAACGACTCAAAACTTTAAAAAAGGATATGAAAATAGGGAACCCTTGTATACTGTTGATGGGAATATAAATTGGTACAGCCACTACAGAAAACAGTATGGAGGTTCCTCAAAAAATTAAAAATAGAACTACCATACAATCCAGCAGTTCCACTTCTGAGCACAGAGCCAAGGAAATGAAATCACTATCTTGAAGAAATATCTGCGCCCCCGTGTTTATTGCAGCATTATTTACAATAGCCAAGACATGGATACAACCTAAGTGTCCACCAATAGATGGGTGGGTAAAGAATGTTATTACACACGCGCACACACAGAGGAATACTACTTAGACATATAAAGGGAAATCCTGCTGTTTGGAACAACATCAATGAATCTTGAGGGCATTGTGCTAAGTGAAGGAAGTCCGACAGAGAAAGAGAAACACTGTATAATCGCACTTATATGCGGAATCTAAAAGCACCGAAGTCATAGAAATGACAGACTGGTCGTTACCGGGGTGGGGAGGGATGGGGGAAATGGGTAAAGGTAGTCAAAGGGTACAAACTTTCAGTTATGAGATGGCTAAATTATGAGGATATAACGTACAGCATGGTGACTATACTATATTTTTGAAAATTGTGAAGAGAATAGATTTAAAAGTTCATACCATAAAAAAATAAGTGTGACTACGTGAGGTGATAGATGTGTTAACTAACCGTATTGCAGTAATTGTTTTGCAATACATATATCAAATCTTTATGCAGTATACCTTAAACTTATACAATGCTGTATGTCCATTTTATCACAATAAAACTGGAAAAAATACAAGATTTTTAAAATTCAAGAGATTAGAAAACAATGTCCTTTAAAATGCATTGCAAAGGACACTATTTCAGGCACTAACTATACTTGGAATTACTTTCTGGCTCATTTACTTCTTGGTCCGGTATTTTCTTTTTGCTACACATCTGTTCTTTGCACATATAAGCAACCAATTGAGGGCTCACTGTGTGGATGGCAGGTGCCAAGTGCCAAGGGGAATGAGGAAGGACAGAAAGTCCTATGCAAGCTATCTTTGTATGGTGCCAACCAGAACATCATCTGCAATTAGGTACATAACAAACTCTCAGAAATAATAGGTTTTGTATACTTGTCAAATAAGACCTTTTGGTGAACCAATAGATCTGATAATAAGAGCATATTCTATGTTCATATTCTAAATGTGAACCTGGTGAGTAGACTGTAGACAAACAGAAAAAAACAACTGGTTATCAAATCCAAAAATGAAAGATAGGCAGGGACAAGGATCCTTAATCCTTCCTCAGCTGAGAGCGGCTCTGGAGGAATCTTCCCAGCTCCCAAATATAACCCTGGGGATTCCAGACATGCTGGCTTTTCCTGGGGCCTTTCCTATGTTCTATAAATTGAGGCTGCCCCACAGTATACGGTTGGTGCAAGAGCTATGACCTCTTCCTCCTTGGCCTTCTTTTTGGCATCATCCAACTTCTTCTTCTTGCTCTCAGGCATGAGATCATCCAACCAGCTCAGCTCTCGCTTAGAGAAACAGAGATCCATGACTTTTCTGACAAACACCAAGGCCAAAACCTGAAAAATAAATAAATGAAGTGAATTCAAGGGCCTCATTTCCTGGAGTGAAAAGCAAAATCTTATTTTCACAGCAGACCAAGACACTGCATGCAAAATCAAACTGGTAACAGTCATTATAGTTGCCTTTTGTTGACTGTTCTCTTTCTACCAGATACTAAGGTATTTTAGACACAATATTTTACTTAACTTTCATAGCAATCCCATCACTTAGAGAGGAAGTGATTTAATTCTTTCATTAAAAAGAAAACCCTTCATTTGCAGATGGCCCTAAGAACTGCCCTGCCCTTGAGGCCCACAGGAAGGGCTCCAGGGAGGCACAGGGGTGCACACCCTCGGCAGGAAATCAGCTGTGATGGGCCGGTCCTTTGCCTGTCCACTTCCCCACAAAATCCTTGCTTTATGCTGCCTCATGGGTCTGTCGTGCTTGTGTCTTTGCCCTCTGGCCTGGTCTGATAATCATTTTATAAATGGAAAGGTGAGGCCCAAGGAGAGAGAATAACTTGCCTAAAATTCGACAGCTAATCACCTCAATATAAATAGCTCGGGGTGTCTCACTGCTGTTCCTTTTTCCCCAAAAAGTGCCATTTTAGCCAAAGGAGAACAAATAACTGAGAATGACCTGCCTGGATTGATTGGTTTTCACCAACTACCTTTGGTGACTGAACAACAAGTAAGGCAATCGGGCTTATTAAATTCAACCACATTTCCCTTGAATTTTAATTACTATTTTGCCATCCACCCAAAATTGGTAGTATCACTTCCAGAAGTTGTCAGGAATTTGCTACTTTTTAACCAAACACTCAACCCCTGAACATAACACCCAAATGCAGAAACCTATAGATATTCTGGCAAAACTGAGAAACCCGCCTGGAGAGTATACAACGAGGAGGCCAGGGAAAAGGAGCCCCTACTCCTGTTTCCTCAGCCTTGCATATTCTCCCCTCCCTGTAAGGCAGAGCTCTGAAGCACCTGAACAGGTTCCAAGCGTTGCACTCACTGCCTTTTCTCCCTGGAGGCCCACCCTTTGGGTAACTTGCAAACAGCCCACTGAATTCTCAGCCTCCTCATGACACAGAGCGAGGCAGAGAGAGCAAGGCATCCAGAGGCGGCGATGAAACAGGTGGCGAGAATTTCATCACCCACCAGATTTAGAAAACAGCTCGTCACCTGTTGCACCACACACAGGCCAGCGTCCCTAGCCTCCTTTCAGTTAGAAAGGAGGTCAGAATGTCCCAGTCACTTAGTGCTACAGCGGCCTCTTTCTCCCTCCCAGTGGCTCAAAACAGTGCATTCCTGCCATTTTCGGCACTTCTGATTGCAATAAGTTCTAAATCGGAACTCTAATGCTTTGAAGTAATATGCAAACTATTGCAAACATGAAGAACCTATTCCTCATCAGATGATTAACCAAAGAAGTCAGGGGTGGGGAGCAAGGGAGGAGGAAGGAACAGGCAGGCTGGAAGCCTTGAAACCAAGCGTGGCAAACGGCTACACACATGTACCCACCCCTCAAGGTCCTCCAAATAACGCCACTCCTGCAATACCATCCAAAAACAAAACTTCCTCATCAATTAGGGATCGATATCCAGATTTTATAAAGAACTCCTAAAACTCAACAACAAAAAAACCAAACCCAATTTTAAAATGGGCAAAGAACTTGAACAGACATTTCTCGAAAGAAGATGTATAAATACCCCATAATAGTCGATAAGCACATGAAAAGATGCTCAACATCACTGTCATTAGGGATATGCAAATCAAAGTCAGAATGAGACACCGCTTCATGCCCATTAGGACGGCTATAAACAAACACACCAACCCACCAGAATATAAGTGTGGGCAGAGGTGTGGAGAAGCTGGAATCCTGTGCACTGCCGGTAGAAATGTAAAAATATAAAACGGTGCAACCGCTACGAAAACCAGTCTAACAGGTCCTTGAAAAATTGAAAATGGAAGTATCACATGACCCAGAAATCCCTCTTCTTGGTATTCACCCAAAAGAACTGAAAGCAGGGACACAAACAGGTGTGTGTTCCCTGTTGCCACTACTCACAGTCGAAGCATTAGTCTCAACAGTCAAGGGGTGTAAGAATTCAAGTGCCTATCAACAAATGAATAAATGAACTGTGGTTTATATAGATAATGGAATATTATTCATCATTTAGAAAGGAAGGAAATTCTGACATATATTACAACATGGGTGAACCCTGAAGATATTTTGCTAAGTAAAATTAGCAAATCACAAAAGGACAAATACTACAAGATTCCACTCCCATGAGGAACCTAGAGCAGTCAGATCCACAGAAAGTAGAAGGGTGGCTTCCAGGGGCAGGTGAGAGGAGGGAATGGCGAGTTACTGTTTAACAGGTACAGAGTTTCAGGTTTGCAAGGTAAAAAAGTTCTAGAGATGGAGGCGGACAATATTTATGCACTTAACACCACTGAACTCTACACTTAAAAATGGTTGAGATGGACCCTGGCTGATGCGGCTCAGTGGATTGAGTGCGGGACTGAGAACCAATCAGTCATGGTTGATCCCCCATCGGGGCCAATGCCTGGGTTTCGGGCCAGGTCCCCAGTGGGGGGCATGTGAGAAGCAACCACACACTGATGAATCTCTCCCTCCCTCCCTTCCCCTCTCTAAAAATAAATAAATAAAATTGTTTATAAAATGGTTAAGATGGTAAATTTTACGTTATATATATTTTACCACAATTTAAAAAATAATAATTTTTTAAAACTCACCATCATTGGGAAGACGATGGCAGCTGGAGATGCCTTGATGACCCAGAGCAGCACAAGGCAGGTCAGCTGGATGAGGGTGAAGAGGTGCACTTTGCGCAGCGGCACGTGCCGAAGGTAAATGAAGTCTGGTTGGTGCTTCGCAGGCATCCCAAAGAGCTTCAGACGATCAAAGAACTGAAAGGAGGAGACTGGAAACTTATTTTCAGGAAGTTTCTCTGGAAACAGACAGGCAACACCACTTCCACGAGACAGAAGTGCAGACTGAGTCTCAGAGAGAACAGGTAACTCAGCGAAGGATGGTAGGGGACGAGAGTCGCTTTTAAAGTTCATCTTTTTAAATTCTAGGTTCAAATTTCTCTTTCCTATCCCACACTGTGGCTCCTGAGAGAGCTCTTTCTTAGGGATTGTTGAAAATAAAATAAGGCAATTATATCTTTCTATTATCAAAACCAAATCTCTTCCTGATTATTAAAGGAGTTTTGAGATTATCATTATTATTTATTGTAAAAACATAACATGAAACCTCATAATATTCCAGAGACAGAAAATATGACCTTCCTTCTATAAAATAAAAAACAGGCCTGGAGAGATTAACTTGTCCAGAGTCATAACAACTTGGTGTCTAAAGATGACCACTGGACATTCCGCAGAAATGAAGAGGAACCAGCCACCAACAGCAAAAGCTGCTAAGCCATTATTTCATCTGGGGTTCCCACGTAATCAGTGACAAGCTCGTGAGTTTCTCTGTTCAAAGGACTCAGAGTCCTGAGCTGGTAGACGGGAAACGGCAGAGTGTGCCAGAAAGTACCACGCGCTTCCTGGAGCAGCTCCCACTGCTCCCCGATCTCGTCACCAACATACCCCAGTGTGAAGGCCTCTCTCTCACACTCTAGCCTGGCACTAAAACTAGCACCTCCCCTGCGTGGGAGCCATTTTGGTTCTTGACCAGCCTTTCACATCTAAGTTTATCAGCATCTGACGAAGCACCTAGTATTTAATGTGTCTAATAAATTGTTGAAAAAATAACAAATAACTGGAGTCATGACATCAAGCCAGGCTACCCTGTAAGTCCCTGTAACCTTATGCCAACATAGCATATTTTGCCTAGTGTCCAAAGAAATGTCTAAAATAGCATAACCAGCAAGACTAGGAAAAGGTTTCTCAAGAACTAGCTTGTGCTAAGCTGTCCCACCCCAGTCGGGAGGAGCGAGCTCACAGAGAGAAGACACTGCCCCGGCTGAGCGCTGCAGTACCTGAATGCCCTGTAGTGAAGAGACTCCCATGTAGAGGAAGACTCCGTAGAGTACCGGCATCGGGATGAACTGAAGGCAAAGGGCAGAAAGACCAGAGATTACACTTGCTATCAACACACTCAAGACTATAACAACTTCTACATCTCCAAGAAGGAAGTCACAACCCCTGACTGGAATGGCTCAATGGGTTGAGCTTTGTCCCACAAAGCAGAAGGTCATGACTTTGATCCCTGGTCAGGGCCCATGCCTGGGTTGCAGGCCAAGGCCCCCTTTGGGGGGGTGCGAGAGGCAGCCAATCAATATTTCTCTCGCACACTAAAGTTTCTCTCTCATCCTTCTTTCTCTAAAAATAAATAAAATCTCTTAAAAAGGTCAAAAAAGATGGAAGTCACAAAATGACAGCATAAACATTGCATTAGTTTCCACTGCCTTTTCATGATTCAGACGTAGAAGCAAAACAGACTATGATAAAAATCATTTTTGCTATAAAATGAAATGATTACACGGAAGTGTGATCTGGTCCTGGTTAAATCACAGGCCTCATGTTTTACCCCCAACTGGCTCCTCCCCCTCAGTGCAGATGGACACACACACACACCCCCTTTTTTAAACAAGCGAGAGAAGGTGTATTTTTTCATTTTTTAAATGTTATTTTTCAATTATAGCTGTCATTCAATATTATTTTATTTTATTGTATTATTTTAAGGGATTTTATTTATTTATTTTTAGAGAGAGGGGAAGGGAAGGAGAAAGAGAGGAAAGACAAAGAAACACCAGTTGGTTGCCTCTTGCACTCCCCCTACTGGGGACCTGGCCCACAACCCAGGCATGTGTCCTGACTGGAAACTGAACTAGCCACCCTTTGGTTCACCAAGCCCATTCTCAATCCATTGAGCTAAACCAGCCAGGCCTCGATATTATTTTATATCGATCTCAGGTGCACAGCATAGTGGTTGGATAATTACGTAATTTATGAGGTGATCCCCCAACAAGTCCGGTACCCACCCGGCACCAGACATAGTCATTACAACATTATTGACTACTTGCCCTGTGCTGTACTCCACATCCTTGTGACTGTTTCGTAACTACCATTTAGGACATCTCCCAGGGGTGCCCAACCTGCGGCCCATGGGCCACGTGCAGGCCGGCATGGCTACGAATGCAGTCCAACACAAAATCATAAATTTACTTTAAAAGGGTATTTTCACTCATCAGTTTTCATTAGTGTTTGTATATTTAATGTGTGGCCCAAAATAACTATTCTTCCAGTGTGTCCCAGAGACACCAAAAGGCCGGACACCCCTAATCCCTATACATTCTTCTCCCAGCCCCTCAACCCCTCTCCCATCTGGCAAACCTCAGTTTGTTCTCTGTATCTGTGAGTCTACTTCTGGTTTTGTTTGCTTGCTTATTTTGTTCTTCAGATTTTATATATAAGTGAAATCATTTTGTTTAGTCTTTTTCTGACTTATTTTGCTTACCATAATATCCTCTAGGTCCATCTGTGTTGTCAAAATAGTAAGATTTCATTTGTTTTTATGGCCGAGTAACATTCCATTGTACCACCACTTTTTTGTCCACTCATCTACTGATGGGCACTTGGGTTGTTTTCTCAATTTCTCTTTCTGATAGTTCATTACTGGACACATACACCCCTCTTTTACAAAACTGAGACCTCATTTTATTTTTTTGACTACAGTTTGCATTCAACACTTTATATTAGTTTCAGGTGTATAAAACAGCAGATAGACATTCATACGGGTTACAAAGTGTTCCCTCTGATAATTCAAGTGCGCACCTGGCACCATAGACAGTTACTACAATATTATTAACTATGTTCCCTATACTTCATCTTACATCCTCATCCCTATTTTGTAACTACCAATTAGTACTTCTTAATCCCAACACCTGTTTTACCCTGTCCCCCCAACACCCCTCCCCGCTGGCCCCCATCAGTTAGATGATTTATGTGTAAGTCTGTTTCTGTTTTGTTTGTTCATGTATTTTGTTCTTTTGTCCACATATAAGTGAGATCATATGGTATTTGTCTCTGTCTGGCTTATTTCACTTAGCATAAGTGAAATATTCTCTAAGTCTATCCACACTGTTGCAAACGGTAAGATCTCCTTCATTTTCACAGCAGGTGTCCCACTGCTGGACCACAGCTGCTTTATCCACTTGTCTATCAATGGGCACTTGGGTTGCTTCTATGTCTTGGCTTCTATATTGTAAATGATGCTGCAGTGAACATGGGGCGCATACATTCTTTCAAATTAGTGTTTTGACTTTCTTCAGATATATACCCAGAAGTGGAATCCCTGGATCACAAGGCAGTTCCATTTTTAATTTTTTCAGGAACCTCCACACTGTTTCTCACAGTGGCTGCACTAGTCTGCATCCCGCCAACAGTGCATGAGGGTTCCTTTTGTCCACATCCTCGCCAGCACTTGCTGTTTGTTGATTTAATTATGATAGCTTTTCTGACAGGTGGATGGTGGTATTTCATTGTGGTTTTGATTTGCATTTCTCTGATGATTAATGATGTTGAGCATTTTTTAAATATGTCTATTGAAGCCCTGGCTGGTGTAGCTCAGTGGACTGAGCATGGGCCTGCGAACCAAAAGATTGTGGTTCGATTCTCAGTCAGGGCACATGCCTGGGTTGCAGACCAGTTCCCGGCAGGGGACAGTTCCCAGCAGGGGATGCACAAGAAGCAACCGTACATTGATATTTCTCTCCCTCTCTCCTTCCCTTCCCTTCTAAAGATAAATAAAGAAAATATTTTTAAAAATATGTCTACTGGCCATCTGTAGGTCCTTTTTGGAGAGGTGTCTATACAGGTCTTTTGCCCACTTTTTAAATGAGTTAAAATAGGCACCTTTTAAACTTTTTGTAATCACACAATCATCCCCTCAGGGATTTGATGCATTTTAACACGGGCTTTAAAAGTTTCCTTTTTTGCTAACAAGACTTGAGGGCAAGAATGAAGACGTATGGTATCTTATCATAGAGGGTATCTTATCATTTGGGGAGAAACATCAACATTATTATATTCACTTAAGTATACACATGCACACCTATCACATCACATTTATTAATCCAGGCAATTTTTAGACCATCTCTATGCGTTAGGGAAATGAGACGTACAGAACCAAGACAAGGGAAGTCTCACAGCTGAAGACTAAACTCACCCTGGCCAGGTAGCTGAGTTGGTTAGAACATTGTCATGATAAGCCAAGGTTGTGGGTTCTATCCCAGTCAGGGCACATATAAGAATCAATCAATAAATGTATAAATAACTGGAACAACAAATCAATCAATCAATCTCTCTCTCACCCTCTCAAAAATTGATAAATAAAAACATTTTTTAAAAAAGACTAAACTCAACTTGCTTCTATTCTGGAGGTAAAGAACATTCCCAAACATAGTTCCTCTCAGAAGTAGAAAATCCCCCACTGGATCTTCTGCTGGTCCAGCTCTAGAGTGAGCAGACATCTCAGTTTGGTGCTAACTCGGTTTGTAGAACTACTAAAGGGTTTTCTAAAGAACCCTTCGGAGAGGGTTCTAGGAAGGCCGGGCCATGCCATCACCGTAACTGTGTGGTGACAGTCCTGGAGGAGCAGCAGTCTTTGGCTCTTCCGGAGGGCACCTGGACCAGATGAGGGGGAGGGCAGGGCAGGGACAGAGAGTGGAGGTGGGTAAGGGGAGTGAGGACCGGTGGCGAGACTGAGTGGAAAGGGGACAGGAATACAGTGCAGAATCCTCTTCCATCCTTCTCAGCTCTCACCCTTAAATAGTGTCTGCAGTGCAGGATGGGGTGTTCAAAGGTTCACCAAGAAGAGGGGGCCTGGAGGCAAGGGAGATAAGTGGTCCAGACGCTGGGGCTGGGGGACACGGCCACAGGGCCTTCGTTATCTCAGATGCAGGCCTTCCACCCCCACACACAAATTTTTTCTTGTGTTTACCTTCCATCTTTCCAAAAATTCCTTTAACCCAAAATCTCACAGCAGCCACTGCCCATTTTTCTATTCTACTTCACAGATAAATCTCTTGAAAGAGCTGTCTGCTCACACTCTTAACTTCCTCACCTCCTATTTACTCTTCAGTGCCTGTAATTCAGCTTCTGCCCTATTTTTCTACTGCATCTGCTCTTGTCAAGTCACGTTAGGCCTGCATGTGGCCAATCCAATGGCCGTTGTTTAGTCTTCATCCTCCAGACAGTTTCTGCCCAGTCCCTCTGACTTGAAATGAGCCACTTGCGGGGCTTCCCTGACACCCCACCCTCCTGGGTTCCCTCCCCCCTCTGGCAGCTCCTTCAGAGTCCCTGTTGCCGTCTCCTCCTCTATCCGACTTCTAAATGTGGAGCTCCTCCGATTCGCTTCCTGGGTGACCTAATCAACTCCCTTGGCTTTCGAAACCCCCTATGTACTATTGACTCCCGCATTTACATTTTCAGTCCATAACCCTCCTCAAGCCTCTTCACTCAAGATGCTTCCCAAATATCTTGCTCAAAATCTAACCACATGCTCACCCCTCACAAAATCACTTCCTCCTTCACGCAGTCTTCTCCGTCTTAGATGATGTCACTCTCAGTGCTGTATGAAAGGAGAGGTCAGCACTCCTCTTGCCAAGGATGGACGAGGCTCTGGGGCCTAACCACGCACACGGTCCAGGCACTGTCACCGCCGTGAATGCCATCACTCTCCACCCAGGTGGTCAAGTGAGAAACCTAGCAGGCATTTTGACTTTTCCACTTTCCTCACCCCATTCTATACCCACCAAGACCTTTGGATTTGCCTTCAAAATATACAGAAGACACGGCCTTTATCCATCCCTACTACCAACTCTCCTAGTCAAGCCACCATTGTCTCTTGCTTGTAATAGCCTCACTAGTCTCTCTGCTTCTATTTTTAACCCAACCTTAAAACCTAGTCTCTAATCATCAGCCAGAGTGATCTTTTTAAAATACTAAGTGGATCGTATCCCTCTCCAGTTAAATACCTTCAAAGGTTACCTTTACCGTCGTCAGCAAGGCCCTGCAGAATGCACCCCTGCTCACTGTTCAGTCCATCTCACTGCGTTTTGTTTTCACTCGCATCCTTGAGTCACATGGCCCTGATGTGGGCCGCTACCCACGGCATGGCTGGCTCTACCTCATCTCAGACACCATCCCTTTAGAGAGGCCTTCTCTAGTCACACTAACTGAGATGGTGGCCCCTTAATTCTCTACAGCACCACGGACCACTATAGATTTCCTTTATCAGTTATATTCTCTAATTATTATGCTTGTTTTCTTAATAAACTTCTTAATACATCTTATCTGTCTTACCCCACTTGAATAAGTTCTTATTTTCAAAGCAGGCACTCAATGTATCACCTAAGGAGTGAATGAATGATTAATTACCTTTAATATAGCTGTCATGAAGACTGAGCAGCCCATCAGCACAAAAATCATAAGGCCTGTCACTCTCTGTTCTCGGATGCCCAAGAACTTGGGCTGTTCTCCAGGAGCAGAGCACTCGGACTCCAGCTTGAGGCTGTTCACATGTGTGATGGACAGGACTGTTGCAGCCACAAACCAGGGCAGGCCCATGATGGAGCAGACGCCCAGCATGATGGCCACCATTAGCAGGTCCAGGTGGTAACCACAGCCTTTCTGTGGGGAAACACAGTGTCCGTCACCATCCGTAAGGCATAGAACAGTGAGCTAAGAGTATTCCAGTCCCACCTCCACCCCTAACCCCACCCCTGGTTTGGAGGGAACAGAGAGGAAAAAGGGAAACCTTAGCCTGGCCAAACCAGGCCAATATTCATTCTTTATTCAAGTGCCCCCAGATCTCACTCTTGAGTCCCCCAGTTTCAAAGATTCATCCTTTCTCAGCAGAGTAACCAGCAATCAAGCCACATCTTGACCATTCTAGATGGTAGACACTATAGGGGTTAAAGATAAATGTCCCTACTGGGTTCCTACCACACACTTCTAGATCCTTGCCAAATTTGCATGTTTCCGAAGTAAGGAAAGAACAGGGATGAAGCCATGGAGCCACTCAATAGCACATGCACTGGAACCAACCCTACCTCTGTAGGATCCGTGGACTCAAGGTTTAGTCTAGAAGCCCCAGTAGTGGACAGCAACGGGACACCACCTGCTTCTAGGAAACAGTGGCCCAAGCCCTGACCGGAGCCTCAGGAAGATAAGCCTGACCCAGAGCGTGTGGCTATATGAGGACCACTAGGAACTCTGCAGGCTCCCTTCCCCACAGGTTTAACTGAAGAGTAATGGAGCCCAAGCTTCGTTTGTATCATTCCATCATGTTCCGCTGTAGGGACTGGAAAACCCTAGAAACCTCTTATGGGCTCTTTCCATGACTCCTTTTATTTGGGGGTCTACAGTTCTCAGTCTAAATGGATTTACCCTAAGCTTTTTACAAATGTAACAGGATGCCATCAATCCTTCCAGGTCAGAACTTCTTGGTACCTTGAGCTTGTGCTCCTTTCTGTTGATGATGACGGCGGTGATCTGCTGGTCCATGAATATTAGGATGGTGCAGAGCAGTGCCGGGATGACCGCGGCTATCACGGTCCACCAGGGATTGGGGCCAATGGGGCTAATAATCCACCCGCGATCATCCCTTGTTGGCTATAGGAAAAAACAAGGTTTATTTGTGTATTTTAAGCTAACTATAATCATTCGGGCAAAATGGATCAAACTGAATCACAACATCCACAATTCTTTTTATTCCTGAATGAGAATCCTTAAAAAAAAAAAAGCAGCCCTGGCTGGTGTAGCTCAGTGGATTGAGCGCGGGCCTGCGAACCAGACAATCACGGTTCGATTCCCAGTCAGGGCACATGCCTGGGTTGCAGACCAGTTCCCTGCAGCCCAGTTCCCAGCAGGGGATGCACGAAAGGCAACCATACATTGATGTTTCTCTCCCTCTCTCCTTCCCTTCCCCTCTAAAGATAAATAAATAAAATATTTTTTAAAAAAAGCAAGCCATGGGACACAGCAACTCTTTCTTTTCAGTGTGCACTCTATTCACTTGAAAGGCAGACTTTTACACATCTGCCTCACCCAGTTATATTCTCCTGTACACACATGTGCTTCCTTATTCCTTACCCTCTTGCAGTTACACTGCAGGCATTCTGCGCGACTCCATCTAAAGCCACCTATCCAAGTCAGCATCCAATTCCCCGAACTCATGCTTACTTAAGAACGCCTAACTTTCATTTCATGACACTCTCGGGTCTTTAATATTTCCCTTCTACCAAAGCACTCCACTCAAATGTACTTACTATACACTGATTAATATTTAAAGAAAACTCCCATCTGCTCCTCAGGCGCACTCCGGGAACCGCCCCACCGTTCTGTTTCATTCTGCAGCACCGCAGTGGGCAGCAACTCGTCAGGAAACCCATGACCTTGCTCAGAGTCAATCCTCAATCACCTTTTTATGAAATATTCATTAATTCTTCACTTCCTCCCCTACTCCCCAAACCCCTATGTACAGAGAAAGCAACTTAATCTCAACATTAGCTCAAATAAAATATAATTAACAACAAAATTTATTGTCCAATATAATTTAATAACATCTAAAGATAAATATAAAAAACTTTGACTCTCTTCCTCCAGAAGCCATGTGAGGTATGTCTACACAGCAAATGAAGGCAAAGTAAAGGCAGATACAAGGAATCTCATGGGCTTAGCTTGTATGGGTTTAGGGTCCTTCTCCCTTCACCATTGAAACAGAGGCCTAGGCACTTGGGACTTGAGAGAGGAACTTAAGACTGCAGACCCTGGGGACTTGTTGGATCCAGGACCCTCCCAATGCCCCTGTAAGACCACCCTGCTCCCAAATCTTGTTTGGGTGTTTGTGGCATACCCAAACTCTGCTGGATCCTCAACCTCTGCCTCCCCTTTCCGAGGAAGGAAAGTTCGCCTTGTTTGGCAAGTACTGACGGAGGATAAAAGGCCAGGAACACATAATGGTCCAGAATTGACCCAAACTCAACAAACCAAGCAAAGACTATTATATCCAAAGTATTTGGTTCCATGCTGGTCATGACTCTAGGGTTCAAAGACTCTTCAGTAATGTCAGCAAGTCCCAATTATGAATGGGTTGAGTTCTGAAAGTTTATAGACTTTCCTTAATAATAATGTTCTAAGTGGTAAGTAAACTGTCAGGCCAACACAAAACCTTATTAAACCCTGACCCACAGTACGCTGTTAGAATGGCGCTGGCCTGCAGGTTGGGCTTGGTCACTGGAGCCACGTGGAGTAACAGGGAGGGGCAAAGGAAGAAAATTCTTCTCTGCTCCCTGAGAGCAAGGCCAGCCAGAGGACATTTTCTCTGACGTTCTCCCATTTCCCTTTCTCATCTTTCTCCCGTGTCCCGGACACCTCCTTCCCAGATGTTCCAGAAACTCAGTGCCTTCTTTCTTAAGCCTACCCATCAGAGAACCACTTCAAAAACTGCTTAAGGCTCTCAAATTACTTACTTTACACAACACCCATTCTTGCAGGGCTGACCTGCTGGTATGAGAGAGAAAGCTGAGGGTGCACTCACTCACACAAAGATGGGAATGACACGGTCTTGGAGGCCTTACATTTTTAAAGTGAGTGTTTTTTCAATTCATAAATTTCTAACTGGTGGCATTTCAGCAAATTTACCAAAATAAAATTTAAAAATCTCAGGTCTCCTTCAGGGAGAGAGGGAAGTCCCAGACTGCCCCTCCTCCTGTCTTCTCCCCTCCCAGCCTCTCACTTCCCGAACCCCCCAGCCACTGAGCATCACCAGCTCTTCTTTCCCCACCACCCTGCGGGGTCTGTGCAGCTGAGCCCCACTTCTCCATCTTCTCTGTTTACTCAGTTAGTGCCTCCATGCAGAATTAGATTGGGAGTACCACACAGTGATCATTTCTTTTACTTTTTTACATAGGTTTTTGGAAAAATATTAGTGATTAGAGAGAGTTATGCAAACAATGAAATAAGGCTGAAGAGATGTTGTGGTTACTTTGGCAGGAGCCCCAGACTCTAGACAAGGCCACCTCCTCAGCTGGCAAGACCCTTTCCGGCAGGGCCCCGTCCCGGCGTCTGCTTTCCTTCCCTCAAACGGCCGGTGCTCAGTGAAAGTGCTGTTAACCAGACTGGTGCCCGAGACCCACATTTCCACAGTGACTGGTATGCCTTTGTACAAATGTGCATATTCCATTGTTTTAAACCTTAATATTAAAACCAGTTAAGTGGCATTAATGATAACGAATAATACTTTTTGTTTGTTATATGAACTTAGGTTTGCTCCTTTCTAACTTGAACACGGCCAAGCCCAAAGAGCTCACTTTTCTGAAAAGTAAGTCACAAAGAGTAAGGTTCAGATTTGGAGGACTGTGAAACTTGCGATTTAGGATGTGGAAAGAGGTCTTGGATATTAACTCAGGACCAGAGTCTATGGAATTACATGAGGGTGCCAAGTACCCTGAGATCGGCTTACCTTGAACACGCTGGGAACTTGAAGCTTTGGCGATGGGACTCCAATCAAAAAATCAAGAATCACCATTGTGAAGATTGTGAGGAAAACAGCAAAGTCACTCACCATGGAGCGTACCTGGCATGCAAAAGGATTAGAAAAGTGTTTGAGTAGGTTGCATGGAGTAGAAAAAAATTTAATATTGCAAAAGTATTAAAAATCCTCAGAAGAACACTTTAATTTTATACTTGAATTAATACAAGCATATTTAAACAAAAGAATATGTTAACATGCCCAAGTTAATATCTCCACCAAAACCCTTGCAATGGTTCCTCATTTCATGGATTTAAAAACCCAAAAAGGCTTGCTGGCCTATGAGGCCCACGCACACTGGCCTCATGGCCCGCCCGGCCCCAGGTCCTAACACTCTCTAGCTGGCTCACTCTGCTCCAGCGCACAGACCTCCCTGCTGATTCTTAAACATGCCAGACTCACTCCCGCCTTAGGGTCTTTGGACTTGCTCATCCCTCCACCTCAAATGTTTTTTCTCCAGCAATCTCCTGGGTCGCTCCCTTACCTCTTTAGGCTCGCTCAAATATCTCCTCCATTAAGATCTTCTCTGATGACCCTACTCACAATTGGTCGCCACCCTCCACCCCAGCATTTCCTATACTCCTTTCCCGCATCATTTTTCTCCATAGCACCCATCACCACTTTGTTCCTCAGAGGACTATCCCACTATACACTTCAGTGCCGCTTTAATAAAATACAATGCCTCTGAAATGCTCAGTGCCTGCTTTAACCTGAACTTCCAACAGAGAGAGCAAACTGCATTTCACACGTGTTTAGCATCAGTAAGACCTGAACCTGACTGCTTTCCTTTGAAAGCTGGGCTTCCCGGCTCCCGCTCCCTGGTTTTGTTACTTCTCCTCTGAATGTTACATAAATTCTCTGACCATGTGGATGTCCCCACCATGCAGCCCATCTGACTGTCCTGGAGCCCAGCAGCTCCTCTCTCCTCTGAACTCCCATGGCACTTACATCCCAGGCTGGCATCTAACTCCTTCCTACTGTTTCAAATGGACCTGGTTGTTTCATGCTTCCCAATGGCAGAGACCACGTTGTAAACTTGTTTTGCATCCCCACAGCACTTAACCCAAACCTGAGCAAGCAATCAGTACACAAGTGCCACTTGTTCACTATCTGCCAGACTGGAAACAATGACCCAGTATGGAGCTTATTTAGTATTTGCCTCCCTTAACTGCTGCGTAGGCTCAGTGAAGTCTAAGAACGTGGTTTAGTCATGTGGGTATACAGTGAATATCCAATCAACTGAGCCGGCTACCCATTCATACATCCTGCTCTGCAAATGGGCCTGATTGAAACCATTTCCTCCTGATTCGAGCTCCTTTTCAAAGCAATGGCCCCTTCAGCTACTCCACGATTGGCCTATAATTCTGCCCTACCATAACTGGTCACAACAACCAGTGCCACCTGCATCAGGAAAAAGTTACCAAGGCTTCAAACAGCATGCAAACCAGGTCAGGAGCATCTTCACTCCTATGGTCAATGTGACCGGTGATTTCATAAGCTATTAATTACTAGAGCCATCCCTGGAAGGAGACTTTGGGGTCCCCTGCATATCTGAAGTGATCATCCCAATTAACTACATTAAGGAGCCAGCTGCAGCTATTCCATTCTGTAGATAAAACTGAACAGCATTCTGGAAATGAAACTTAGTAACTTTTAGAGAATACCACTCCACCTTAAATACACTTTTAAATCAAAAAGCATTTATGTGTCAACTCCTCATCCCACACCACACACCCATGAAAGGGTCTGCTGGACCCCAGCAGAGATGCGACCACGTGGCTCTTCAGGACATTTAGAGCTCTCCACCTGCCACTCAACTCCAAGAGCAGCGTGGAGGCCGAGGACAGGCTCTGTTATATTAGAATTCTAACACAGAAGGAGTGCGTGAACGTGCTACCTACTCTGGTTGGGAAATAGCGGCTTGTCTTAAAAGTCTTTAAGGTGCTCGAGAGGATGAAGGTGGTAAAGAAGAGAATGCAGGACCAGAAGAGCACGTCGGGAGTGTAGGGTCCATGATGGCTGCACGCGGACCCTGTGAACTCTCCGTGCATCTCCTGGCACTCCTGGGGGAATAAACACTCTGGGTTACGAACTGCAGGCGGGAGGGAGTGACTAGCTGCTGCCTTGGAGCCCACTGCTCACTGCCATCCCCAGGCTGCTGGAGAGCACAAGCTGCCAACAGCTCGAGGCCCACGCAGCTGTGGGGCCCTGGCATGCGCGGCCCCCTTCCAGGTAGGGTAACTACTCACGGTCCTAACTAAGGCACTTTAAAAATGAAACCAGAACTGTCTCCAGCAAACACGAGGTTCTGGGGGGGCCCTGGCAGTCCGTATTATTTTCATTATGGAGGACGTAACTAATTGGAGTGTTCTTCAAGCTCCATAAAACCTGGATCTGCCCCCAGCCCTGCCCGCTTTCATCCCCACGTAGTCCAAGTGCAGGCTCACTGGGCTGAGTGTTGCTATCGCCTGAGGGAGAGAAAAGGGAGATACTCTTTTCCCTTTATGTACGAGAGAATTTTGAAAGGGAAAAAAGTCAGTAAGAATAGTTAAAAAATAAAAATAGAAGAGCTTTATTTCTATAAATGCAGAGCTCACTAACAGGCCACCCACTTCTGCCGAGAAGACCCCTCGCCCCTGCAGTCCCAGAGCTCAGGCCCCAGGCCACGCGCAGACTCACAGTGACCGTCAGGTTAGCCCAGTGGACTTCTGCTGTCACGATGTTGTGGTCCTTCCAATACTGCAGTGTGTGGTTGTTTGGGTTCTCTGGGATGGTGCACCTACAGCTGAGAGGGAAGAAAGATTCCTGAGGTAAGCAGCCAACTATTTGCTTAAATACGTTTAGCTATGACTGAGCTAAAGGTTCCATCATCAGAGCCTGCCTTGCTTCTGTGTGCCCACTCAGATCCCTGAGGTCAGTCCTCCGGGTTGAGGCCCATCTGTGGGTCCAACCACACCCTGATTTTTCAGTCAGTCATTGATAAAGACGGACTCAAATCAGCGTGTGGGTCTTGGATTAAATTGTACTGACAACGAAGCTTAGTATCTGACGCACCCAGAATGAGCCTTTGTGGTCTCTTACTTTGTTTCTAGCTCTTAGGCTTGTCTCCTGAAACTCGAACTACACAGGAAAGACCAGGTACTCCACTAAGCTCCCAGCAGCTTCCTCTAAACCTGGACATCCTGCCCCCTATAACCCTGTCACATTCTTGCTCTAAAAATTCAGTGTCTCCTGGAATTCTGATGTAAGCTCTTCCTGACACTGCATCATCCCCGAAAATCCACCACCTTGGCCATTCCCTGCCCTCCCAGGCCTCTTCTTCCATCTGAACCAGACCAGACCTGTCCCACTGGCCACCATGCTGCCTCCCAGTCCCAGCATGCTTCAGGCCTGAACTGGCTCCCCATATACTCAGCCAACATAACCGTTCCCACCAAGTTAATTTCATCTGTGAATTTAATGACCATGCCTTCCAAGGATATGGCATGAACAGAACTAAAATTCAAAAAGATCTCAACAATTTCTAAAACAGGAGGAAGACAACAAAATGAAAAGTAACAGGGAAAGCTATAAAGTCTTACATTGAGGTTAAAAAAATCAATTCTAAACTTGGAAGCAACAGAGATGGCCTGCAGCCAGTGAATGGACATACCGTAGTACATCCACACGACAGACCATCATTCAACACTAAGAAGAATAAACCCAAGGGTCCTTCAATGGATGACTGGATAAAAAAGATGTGGTACGTATATACAATGGAATATTACTCAGCCATAAGAAAGGATGAAATACTGACAACGTGGACTGATCTTGAGAGTATAATGCTAAGAAAAATAAGTCAGACAGAAAGCACCATATAATTTCACTCGTAGGTGGGATATATGACAGAAAGCAACAAAGGAACAAATGAACTAACAGACACAGAGAACAGTATGGTGGTCACCAGGAAAAGACAGGGGTGGGGGTGAATAAAGAGGGTTAAGGGGGGTCAAATAAAGGGTGGGGCAAAAGCAGGTTAACAGTTGTTCTTAAGGAAAACAATAATTTAAAAACAATAGCACAGGAATAAACTGTGTTTTGTGTACTCACAGCTGCAAACCTACTTCTGCTCCACCCTGAGCATGGAGGGAAAGCTATAAAGCCTTACATTGAAGGGGATTTCAATGTAAGGGGACTTCAGTGAAGGGGACTTCAATGGAAGACTCTGGGCGACTAGACCACGGGTGGTGAGCACACATGCAGCATGCAGGTGGCATGTCACAGAGCCGTAAACGTGTAAGTATGCTAACTGAAGGAGACTCAGTACGTTCAAAATGATGTCTGCAGATTTATCTGTTCATACTAGCAGAGGTAGTAAAAACCATCCTAAGTGGTTATATTTGATGAATTCACAACACATTAAAGGAAAAATACACACTGAAAGAAATAAAAGAGACATATTTTAAGAAGCATTGTAAAAAAAAAGAAATATATAATTATTAACAAATGTTATCCCAATAAATTAAAGAATAATGAATTTTCAAAATATAAATAAATAAAAAGAAATGAACTATCAAGCCAAAACACATAGAAGACCACTAAGTGCATATTACTAAATGAACAAAGCCAATCTGAGAGCCAAATGTTAAATTCTGCGATTCCAACTATATGATATAGAAAAGGCACAACTTTGTTGTCGGTATAAGATCAGAGGTTGCCAGGGGTTGGGATGGTGGGGTAGGATAAGCAGGCGAAGCACAGAGGATTGTCAGGGCTGTGGAACTACTCTGTAGGACACTATGATGATGCACGTGTCATTATACATTCATCAAAACCCACAGAAGGCACAGCACCAAGAGCAAAACCTAACATAAACTCTGGACTCTGGGTGACAATGACGTGTCCATGCAGTTCCCTGATTACAAGCGTGCCACTCCCGTGTGGGGTGTTGATAGTGGGAAAGCTGTACACATGGGGGGCGGGGGTACATGGGAACTCTGTACTTCCCACTCGATTTTGCTGTGAACCTAAAACTGCTCTAAAAAGAGTATCTATTAAAAAATCGGTCCAGCCCTGCCTGGTGTGGCTCAGTGGATTGGGGCTGCAGTTTCAATGGCCAGTCAGGGCACATGCCTGGATTGAGGGCCAGGCCCCCAGTCGGGGGTATGTGAGAGGTACCCACACACTGATGTTTCTCTCCCTCCCTTCCCCTCTCTCTAAGAGTAAATAAATAAAATCATTTAAATAAAGAAAATCAGTTCTAGACACATTAACATAAAATCATTTAAAAACTTGAAACGCTGTAGCTTCACATCAGCTCCATATGGACTGACAGTAGAATGCAACTAAGAAAAATATCATTTGAGTTTTATTAACCCAGAATTCCAGTATTCAGGTCCAAAGTCTACTCAGTCCGGGGTTGCACAGTTTTGTCTGATTCTCCCACTGCACATAAGCCTCATGAGGACAAGGTCCTTTGTCTGTCATGTTCATCACTGTGTTTCCAGGGCCTAAAATAGTGCTGGCATATAGTAGATGCTCAACAGATGTTTGTTAAATAAATAAACAAAATAAATGATAGAAAAGGTCAAAGAACGAACCTTCACTCCAATGCCAGCTGGCAATCGCCAGACTTCAGGGAGCCTATTCTCTAACGGCCGTCATTTTGTAATAACACCATTTTCAACCCTGGTAAGTTCTGTATGAATTCTGACTCGGGGTGCTGATAAACAATGATAACTGGGGTCTGTAGAAGTGTGTCTGTGGCGGGTTAGCAGACACCTCCACACAGTGTGCTCTTTCTGCTCGGGCTGTTTCAGGCTGAAACTGGTCATCTCACACCCAGACCCTCACATCAGAGCTGCACAGTGAGATGGGCTAGAACTTGATATACTGGGCTAAAGCATGAGGGGATTTAGTCACGATTTGGAGAATCCTATTCCAGAGAAGACATGCTGTATAGGACCAGATTCTCGATGGCTGAAAACACAGACAAATACTGTGTCTTTTCCAGCTGATCCAAACTATGTTGAACACATGAAGAAAACAGTCTCTTTAGTTGAAATCTAGGTAAATAAATAGATTTCTAGATAAAATCTTGGTAACATGGTCCCAGGGTCTCACAAGTCCTTTCAAAATGAAGTTCTTTCCAGCAACTAATCTGAATTCTCCCTGCTACATTTGCAGCCTATTTTTGTCTCAATGCCTGGAACCACAAGACATGTTTGAGAAGCATTTCTTAAGTCCCATCTGAGTTTCACTCTTAGTCCATCCACTCTGTCATCAATTTTGACTGTTCTCCTTTGGCAGCCCCAAAGTCTCCACATCCATATCTGAGCTCTGTTCCCCAGAGGGCCAATGCAGTTCCTTAACAGAAGCTCTAAGCACTGCCTGGCATGCTATATCAGCCATTAAACTCAGGCCATTTGCTCAATATAAACAAGCAAACAAACAAACAAACAAAGATCAGCAGAAAGCATACTTACTAATACAGGCTAAGGTGGTCCAGCTGGCTGTGCATATGGATGGGGTAGGTCTCTGCCAGGTGAATCAGCTTTTCTATTGCTTCATAGATGAAAATAATGCAAATGAGGGAGGCAAATGCTTCTTCAGTGAAGCGGGTGATGTAGCAGACAAGGGAACTGGCATCAGTTGCCACAAGGACAATACATAGGAAGGCAGTCCACAGTCCAATGCAAGCGCGCAAGGAGAGGTATGAAAGAGCGTAGTCTCTGAAACAAGACCAGGGTTCGTCAAAAAACATGGATGGGTGGCAGTAAGAGACAGAGGGTCAAAAATGTGACTTCACCTCTTATTACCTACACCAGCATTACAACCCAGTTCTCCCTAATTCTGACTGCGCTTCACTTTCCAATGCTGCCCTAGGACAGCTGTGACAAAGATTTGCTTCACGGGTGGCTTTTGCTAAACAAGGACATAGAAAGTGGAAAACAGCCCCTCCCCATTTCTGCCATTACTACCCAACGTGGTCAAGATTTCATTCTTGCAGTTACGAAAAAAGAGCTGGCTGGGCCTTGTGCTGTGTGCTCCTACTTCTACTACAAAATGAAAAAAGTCAATTAACAAGTCAGTTCTAAGGAAAGTAGAGAGACAAAGGCATTGCTGAGCACTCCCACCAGCAACCGGAATATGAAACGGTAAGTAGGCCAAATTAAAAACTGACTTGAAATGGCAATGGAGGAGTTTGAATGAGCTAAGGAGAGTTTTCTTAAAGATAAAAAGTCAGAATTTCAGTCATGGCTCAGGGACACTAATAAAGCTCTTTAAGACAAGGAGACCTGCTGTTTTAGGCATGGCACTGCCTGGAGGCAGAGCCCCACACCAAACGATGTTCTTTCTTCGGGCTTTTATCAGCCAGAACGATGTTTGCCTGCATGCTCGGCTGGGACCCTGGCGTTCAACCCTAACAGCACAATAACACAGCCAATTAGAGTTTTCCGAAAACCAGATGTCTTACTTGCAAAATTTGAACAAGATCTTTTCGAACACAAGCACTGGCCCAGTGCTGCCCAGGATGGTGAGAGCCTGTCCCGCAAACAAGGAATAGGCGATCCCAGTCATGGAGGCTCCGAACAAGGACTCGATTGCACTCTGAGAGGAAAGAAACATCACTGAGGCCACAGCCCATCTGTACTGAGTAGTGTGAGCTTATGTACATGCCTGCCTTAGCTCTCACATGCGCCCTGACAAGTTGTTTCCTTGTGTTTCATCTCAGCAAGAGGGATGTGTACACACTGTCTAATACACCTGCAAATGGTATCACTTTGATAACTCAGAAGCCCAAGTCCATCCACACATGGTTCCTTAACGAAGTCCCATTCTGCAGTGATTCAGGCCACTATTTAAACATATAGAGAAAGCACACTGATACCATTCACACCAAGAAACATCATACAGAATGACCTTAAATCTTATTCTCAAACGGCATTAATATATCATTTCCCATCCTTTCAGCAATGGGCAATTCAACTGCACAATCAGCTACTGCAACTGAGATTCGAGCAGAAGTGAGTCTGCTGTAAAGGAAGAACTGAGTTGCTGTGTGGTGTGTAGTCGGAATACCACAGCAATCCAACACAAAGATCCCGGTCTCCTTAGTCCCAGCCCAGGGAACTTCTCCGCCGGGGAACTTGGCTGCCATCCCAGTGTTGGCAGCCAAGTCTTCTTCGGGACACGAAGAATGGTTAAAAGTTCTTACTATGCGTCCTTCGGTGGCTTCGCCAAGTAATCCCCCAAAGGTGATGACAGGCGACATGCAGGCACAGTACAGGAACAGGAAGGAGGCCAAACACTGTAAGCTGAGCGCATCCCGGTAGTCGCTCCAGTACCAGGGGGCCTTCCGCTTGATGTCCAGCACCAAGCCCCCAAACAGCCTGTGAACACATGGCAGACAGGCCTCTGGCACAGTCCCTCTTTCACAGGAGCACAACGACAGCACACATTTAAAAGCAGTTCAAGCCCTGACTGGTATGGCTCTGTTGGCTGAGCACTGTGCCACAAAGCAAAAGGTTGCCAGTTTGACTCCCAGTCAGGGCACATGCTGGGCTGTGGACCTTGTTCCCAGTTGGGGCTCATGTGAGAGGCAACCGACCGATGTTTCTCATGCATCGGTTGCCTCTTGCTCACCCCCGACTGGGTATCTGGCCCACAACCCAGGCATGTGCACTGACTGGGAATCAAACCAGCAACCCTTTGGTTTGCAGGCTGGCACTCAATCTACTGAACCACACCAGCTATGGCTAAATAAAATATTTTAAAAAATAAAAGCACTTCAAATGTGCTCTGTACTAAGATAATACTTTGGCTTCAATTTGACCCCCAAGTACAAGAGATATGCCTGGGGTCAGCAAAGATTCTATTTGCAACCAAGAGCATGAATTAGAGTGATTAGCCAAAGCATAAAAAGAATTCATTTAGGTGTGCATATTACCCATTCAACAGAAAGTTCCAAAAACTTAACATGAAATTAAGTATCAACTTCAAGCTTCGAACTCTGAACTGTTAGGAGGAAAGGCTCAAAATCAACTTGAGGTATTAAAACTGTTAGTTTCATTACATCTTTTTAGAAAATATGCCTCCTTCACATGCACTTTCCTACTCTGAACAACTACCCACCTTACTCTTGAGAAATGAACATAATAATTCATTCACGCAGTTGACAAGCAGCGGCAGATACTTTGTGTCAGGCACTGTGCCAGGTCCTGGAGAAGCAGCAGTGAGCAAGACACACACAGCCCTTCTCTCCAGGACCAGAGGTCCAGTGCAGGAGACAGGCAGCACGGAGCAGGGCGGGGCTCTTCAGCAGGGACTCAAGAGTGGCCGGGAGTTAGCCTGCTGAGGCAGAGGGGCAAGCGTGGAAGAAACTAACCTAGAGGCGAGAGCACATGGCAGGTTCGAGGTGCGGAAAGAGATAGGGCTGGACAAGACAGCGTGGGAGACAAATACCAACAGCCAAGGCCAGGGCAGCTAGAAAAGCTGAGGCACAAAAAAACCTTGGAAACTGTTTTAAGGAATTAGAATTTTATCCTAACAGCATATCAAGTCACTGAAGGATTGTACACAGGGGCTCACCATAATTAAACCTGCATTCTGGAAGGATCACTCAGGTGTAGGTGTAAGGAACGGAACATGGGGCAAGATCAGAGGTGGTGGATTGGGGTGAGAAGAGGTGAACGGACTCAGGGGCTAATCAAGAGTCAGAATGAACAGGACCTGGTGGCAGGACTTGAGGACTCGCTGCACCGAGAGACAGATCAAGTGCGAGACAGCCCGCACCCAGGATCAGCAGCGTGCCTGCAGAGTCACTTCTAAGAGGGGAGTAACCAGACCGCGGTGAAAGTTGTTAGGTGAATGAAAAAAAGAGCCATTCAGCATTCTACAGGACAATTTGCCTGTTGTTCTTTTTTCTATAAATCAATGGGATAGAATAGGGAGCACTGCAATAGAATGGAAACATAATAACCAAATGCAAACCTTCATTGGATCCTATGTCAAACAAATTAACTTAAAAAAGATGTTACTAAGACAATCACAAACAGTTGCATATGGACTGATCAATATAAAATTTAAAGAATTATTGCTGCCCTGGCTGGGTAGCTCAATGGCTGGAGCACTGTCTTGTACACCAAAAGGTGGCAAGTTCTATTCCCAGTCAGGGCACATGCCTAGGTTGTGGGTTCGATCCCAGTCAGGGTGCGTGTGGGAGGCAACCGATCGATGTTTCTCACATCGATGCTTCTCTCTCCCTTTTTCTCTCTCTAAAAAAAAAAATCAATAAACATATCCTTGGGTGAGGATTTTAAAAAGCATTGAAAAAAAAGAATTATTGTTAACTTTGTTAGATTTAATAATGGCACAATAGTTGTTTTTTAAAATGTCCTTACCAAATGAAGATACATACTGAAGTGGTTACAAGTAAAATGGCATGCTACTGGTGATTTGGTTTAAAATTATCTAGAAAACATAAAACAATTAAGCGGTAAAGCGAAGTCAGCAAAATGTTGGTAACTGTTGATGGGCACATGATGGGGTTCATTATACTATCCTTTTTTATTTTTTATATGTTTGAAATTTTCTATAATAAAAAGCTTTAAGAAACGATCTCTCTCATGAACGGAGGTTCAGCCAGCCCTTCATTCCTTCCTTCCTTCCCTTTCCTTTCTCCCTCCCTCCCTCCCTCCCTCCCTCCCTCCCTCCCTCCCTCCCTTCCTCCCTCCCTCCTTCCCTCCCTCCCTCCCTCCCTCCCTGCCTTCCTTCCTCTTTTTAGGAGCCTGGAGGGACCTGAGTGCCAGGAGAGAAGGCACGACAAGCCTTCTCCATGTACCTCTCTCTCCCCTGTCAAGGTACAATGAGTGTGCAGGTGGACACGGGACAGACACTGTATGATAACACCCACTTGCTATTTCCCTCTGGCTTGGGTGGGCAGAGTTGGGATTCACCCTTTCTCAGCTTTCAGTAGCAACATCCCAGTCCGGATCTGGGCTTAGGGGAGAGAAGCAGAGCCAGTCTGTGACCCGCTTTGGTTTCAGCCTGCCTGGCAAAGCGGACTAAGGAAGGAGCTATCTACAGAGTCTAACCTAGAGCACAAGACAGAGATCTACCTCAGGGTTTGGGACCAAGGTTCCAGTTTGTAGTAAAGTATTTTTTCTTGCTGTCTTCTCTGGGCAAATAGCCCCTTAAGAAACTTACAGGCAGCTGCAATTAGTCTGGGGCAAGATTCTAGTGTTTCTGGGTCCTTAGCCAGCACAGCATCTTAGTACCACGTGACTATCACCTCTCAATCACCAACGACCTTCCTCTGAAGGGTATTATTCTGAGAGAAGCATCGCCTTCTGCAGTAATGAGCCTCGCCCCACTGAGGCAGCCTGAGGCTCTGACATGACTGGTCGGCTCCTGGACACAGGAGCAGCCCTTAGGGAAGAGTGTCTGTGAGTAACAGACAGAAGATTTATGTGAAATGCATTTATGAGAAGCCACAGAAAGGGAGGCCCTAGTTTACTCTCCTCCCTCTGACACTAACAGGAACCTGAAGTCTCACCACCACATGGGTGATCTGTTTGGAGGAAACCTTGATGTCCTCATTTCTTCTACTTTCAAACTCTAAGTCCTGGGGTGTCGACACCCCTTATATTCAAAAGATACATCATAACTCTGAAACACTATCAAATCCATACCCGAAGGCCCTTCCCCTTAAATACCACCACCTAAAAACAAACAAAGAAAAGTCAACGCCAGCCCCTCTAAGACAGTCTCAATCCCGGAACCTATTCTAATAAGGACAGATGTTTCCCTTGAACTGTCTCTCAACACCAGGCCTCCCCACCAAATTCGGACTTCTCCCCACTTAAAAGAAAATGTTAAACCTACTCTTAGAGGTTGCTCCCTCTTTTCAGTGACCCCTTCCACCAAGGGGCTCCTCCTTGCTCCAGTGGTCCCTCCCCAGAACCTGCTTACCCTTCTCCATCCTTAGTACATCCCTCCAATCAGGAGACGACTGCCCTGTCAGGACACGGCAGTGAAGTGTCATTCTCTCCTGCTCCTCATCCTCCTTTCATTTCCTCTCCCCAAATTTCCAAAAATGGGAAAGTAAATGGCTCTTCACAATTCAAAAGAAAAAAATCTTGCCCTGGCTGGTGTAGCTCAGTGGATTGAGCGCAGGCCTGCGAACCAGACAATCGCGGTTCGATTCCCAGTCAGGGCACATACCCGGGTTGCAGGCTGGTTCCCTGCAGGCCAGTTCCCAGCAGGGGATGCATGAAAGGCAACCATACATTGATGTTTCTCTCCCTCTCTCTTTCCCTTCCCCTCTAAAGATAAATAAATAAAATCTTAAAAAAAAAAAAAGAAAGAAAAAAATCTTGGGCAAGGAAGAATAAAATAAAGCGAAAGCAAGAGAGCAGAAAATGTTAAAAGCTTCTTTCTATGTCTGGGTCCTGCCCTGAGAATCTCTGCCCAGCAGCCGATCATTCGGAAACCAGCACAGCTCACAGAGCCCGAACCACAGTCTCAACCTTCTCCCATGATCAACCCAAAATATCATCTGTCTCACCACCTTCCCACCTGGCAAATAAAACCTCCTAGTCTGGGAACCTGCTTTCGCTCACTACCACAGTGAACCTTTTTCTTGGACATTGCTTCTCAAAATTTTGGCCTAGAAGAGTAGATTACCTATTCTGAGACATGTACCTAAAATGGTACCTATTTTCTTACCCTGAGAGTTTCTCTTAAAATAATCATTCAATATTTATCCATACTTACTCCATCCATGTTACTGAATAAGCATCATTCTAAAATCATACATTCATTCATTCATTTGAATAGCTACTCTGTGCAGAGCACTGTGCTAGGTGCTAGTAATATAATGGGGTCCCTGCTGTTATGGGGCAAACATTCTAGCAGGAAGGACAATGAACCAAGCAATAATAAAGTATAATAAGAGCTGTACAGGGGGTTGGGAGTAGGGTGGCAGGTGGGCAGGGGACAGAGCTCAAAGTTGTGACACCATGTAGCAGGAATGCCTAACCTCACCTATAGAGAGTCCCGGAAGGCTTTCCAAAAGAAGTGACACCTCAGCCGAGGCCAAGGATGAGCAGCAGTCAGCCAGGAGAGGAGGAAGGGGGTGTGTGTTCAGACCAGAGGGAACGGCGTGTGGGAGGAACTGGAGGTGAAACAGAGCATGGTACCGAACGAATACAACCTTCGATATGTTCATAGTACTTATAGCCAATGGTTCCATCTGAAGAGTCACTCCCAGCCATTTAAGCTGCTACAGAGTAGAAGGCTGAAAGCGAAGAGGATGACTCATTCCCTTACACAACTGGCGCCCAGCAAGCAGCGTCAGCTGGGAAACATCCCGGAACTCACCGCCCGGTGCGCTGAAGCTCTGGCCCGCTGTGGCCCCCGTGTGGTTCTGGTTCTATGTGGCAAACGTTTCCATTTGGAACTCCAGGCATTTTCCTTTTTTCCTTTTAACAGAGATGACCACAAAATCAATGAAGTCAGCCATCTAGTTTGTAGTTCCTACTAACAACGGGAAGTGGTAAAATAATCCAAAAGCAGCCAAAAAATACCCAAGTGTTTGTAGCTTTCACATGCATTCATTGATTTGGGGCAGTTTATTGACTTTTCTGAGAAAAAAACAAAACCATAATTTCTCCTCCTCTCCACTAGGACTTGACTTCTAACTCTGCCTTGCCCAGAAGCAGAAAAACGGAGGCTTTGACACCCAGTATAACCTAAGCTCCAGTTTCACATCTGCCTCTATATAATCTTACTTTACCTTAAAACCCTGAAGATAGTTTTATTCCTTTTTTGTAAGCTAAGGATAGCAATCCCTATTTGGGGATGCTGCTGAGAAGATTGAATTAGCACATGTAAAGCACCTGGTTTACTGTCCAGTGCTTAGCAGGAGTATCCTTCCCATCTTCAACCTGTCAAAAAAGTGTGAACGCTATTTGCTCTCTCTATACAACTCCCTCTTTTCATTTACAATAGTGTCATTCCTAACATACTCCCAAGTAATGTCCTTCACTCTCCCCTCTGCCAGTCCACATCAGTTCTTCGAAAGTTGGCTTAAAATTCATCCTGACTGGCCCCTGCCGCACCGGAGCCAATCTGCGTTACTGCACATTCATTTCCTATTCTGACATTCTAGGTGCCCCCAAACAGGGCATGTGTCGATTTATTTAGCATACACCCAGCACGATCTTTGCTTTATCCATGGTTGGGCACTCACTAAGTGACACCAAGCCACCACTGGCTAGTGTGCATTCATTACCTGGGAAGGGACATTTTTGGGCGGCTCAATCCTAATGGAGGGGTCCCACTCCCCTGGAGGAAGCACCGTCACCTGGTCCAGGAACTCATCAATCCCTGCCAGGAGGTCGTCTCGCTCTTTTGCCTTATAGGCCACATCATGAAAAATCTACAGAGAAAAAAAAAACCCTCAGGAAAGTTGAAAATGATGTTACCTAAAACAATTCACCCATGGACACAGTGAAAAACGAATACAGCCTCTTCATTTTTATTTCTGTCATGGGGATCTGAAATGTAGAAAAACTTTAGCATTTAGAGAAGTGCAAGGATAAAATGATTTTTAAAAATGAACCTAAAAATAAGTCAAAAAGAACTAAACATATGTCTCCTAGTATAAGAAGAGACAGGACATTTGTATAATTTTTACATTGGATAAGGCACTCTATAATTCTACAGTTGCATAATTCTGTTATTTCCTCAAAGAATGGAATAAAAGATGCATAGGAAATTTTTCCTGATCATAATGGCTGGAAAAACTGGGTGGAATTACTAATGAAGGTCTTTGGTGAAATAAGCCTCCCAATCAAAGAGCCGATAAAACACAGCCCCCACCTCCTCTGCCTGCTACGACACATATGCCTTGACAGTCCTGCTTTGCAACTCCCAGGAGCAGCGAAGTCCTCACTGAGGCAGGCCACGGGGCTCAGGCCTGCGGCCACCAGAGTGGCGGGCTGCCTCGGCGCATTCGCACCACAGTGCTGAGCACAAACCCGACTCTTAAACAAACGGGTCTCCCTTATGTGGGACAGGACTGAGATTTCTTTGTGTAAACCGGCTAGATGCATTTAATTAACAATCCTCTCCAGAAAATTAAGTTAGCCTTAATATCTTTCTCTCTTAGTATCCTGTGTGGGAAAAATAATTTTCCGAGAAAAAGATTTCTCTGCATCTTTGATTATTCGATAAGCAATAAGCAATCAGAGAAGTGATCTGAACTGCTTCCCAGCAGACACTTCATCTGTAATGATTTTATACCCGACAATGAGCACAGTGCCTGGCACAGAGTAAATACTCAGTAATTATTTATGAGATGAACGAAGGAAAAACAAAAGTGGCACATACCTCATCTGTCATGATGGTGGCCATGGACCTGCCAATCTCATGGTACTGCTGACCTTTCCCTACTGGACCCAATAGGATAAACAAAAATCTGGCAACACACACAAAGGAGGAAATTATGTAAGTAAAATAAAGAAGTGACATCTTACTCCTCTCTAAAGACCAGCAGAACGTTTCTCTCTTCTATCAAACAGAAATCACCACGGTACCCTCAATAAAAGCAGGCAGACTAATGATGGAGCCGAATGAGCTGCCTGGCTCTAACAGCCCCACTGTGGGCATGGGAAGCTATCTGTATGACTCCCTTCAATAATGTGTTTGTAATTCTTGGGATTTCCATAGACACCATTCCTTGCTATAGAAAAGACACTCTTTCAAAAATATGGCATTGTAATGCAAGTTCAACATAATCAAAATCTCATTCATTGTACTAATAAGAAAATGATGAGATTTTCCTGGACTTCCAGCCAAGATGGAGGCATAGGTAGATACACTTTGCCTCCTCTCACAACCAAAGGGCAACAACAAATATGAAAACAAAAACAACCAGAACTACCAGAAAACTGAACTTTATGGAAGTCTAACAATCAAGGAGTTAAAGAAAAAACATTCATTCAGACTAGTAGGAGGAGTGGAGAGGACATGCAGCAAGGCTGCAGTTGGCAGACAGGAGGATCCCACATTTGCATGCAGATAAACTGGGAGGAACAACTGAGGAGCAAAACAGACCACAAAACCCAGGATTCCAGTGTGGGGAAAGAAAGCCTCAAAACCTGTAACTGAAAAAACCTGTGGGGATTGTGGCAGCAGGAGAAACTGCCAGGCTCATAGGAGAGTTCATCAGAGAGACACACAGGGCCCTAGAATATACACAAACCCACCCACCTGGGAATAAGCACCAGAAGGGCCCAATTTGCTTGTGGGAAGCAGAGGAATTGAATGAAAGCCCACTGAGCAAGCAGCATTGCTCCCTTTCGACTCCTCTCCCATATATAGTGCCACATGTGACAACGTGGGTTGCCCCACCCTAGGGAATACCTAAGGCTCCACCCCTTAGAACATAATAGGTACACTGAGACAAAAAACAATGGCTCAAATGAAAGAATAGATCAAAACTCCAAAAATAGAACTAAGCAATGAAGAGATAGCCAACCTATCAGATGCAGAGTTCAAAACACTGGTAATCAGGATGCTCATAGAAATGGTTGAGTATGGTCACAAAATAGAGGAAGAAGTGAAGGCTATGCAAAGTGAAATAAAGAAAAACACACAGGGAACCAACGGTGATGGGAAGGAAACTGGATTCAAATTAATGATTTGGAGGAGAAGGAAGAAATAAACATTCAACCAGACCAGAATGAAGAAACAAGAATTCAGAAAAAAACACGGAGAGGCTTAGGAATGTCCGAGACAACTTTACACCTTCTAACATCTGAATCATAGGGGTGCCAGAAAGAGAAGAGGAAGGCCAAGAAATTGAAAACTTATTTGAAAACGTAATGAAGGAGAACTTCCCCAATCTGCCAAAGGAAATAGACTTTCAGGAAGTCCAGATTACTCAAGATTAAAGATAAGGAGAACATCTTAAAAGCAGCAAGAGAAAAGGAAACAGTTAGCTACAAAGAAGCTCCCATTAGACTACCAGCTGATTTCTCAAAAGAAACCTTGCAGGCAAGAAGGGGCTGGAAAGAAGTATTCCAAGTCATGAAAGGCAAGAACCTACATCCAAGATTACTCTATCCAGCAAAACTATCATTTAGAACATGAGAACAGATAAAGTGCTTCCCAGATAAGGTCAAGTTAAAAAAGTTCATCGTCACCAAGTCCTTATTACATAAAAGGTTAAAGGGACTTATCTAAGAAAAAAAAGATGACCAAAAATATAAACAGTAAAATTACAAAAAACTCACAACCATTAACAATTGAACCTAAAAATTAACAAACAAATTAAGCAAAAAATCTAGAATAGAAAAAGAATCACAGAAATGGAGATCACATGGAGGGTTATCAGTGGGGAAGGGGTGGGGAAAGAATAGGGTTAAAAGGTACAGGGAATAAGAAGCATAAATGGTAGGTACAAAAAAGACAGGGGGAGGTTAAGAAAAGTATAGGAAATGGAGAAGCCAAAGAACTTATATGTATGACCCAAGGACATGAACTAAGGGGGAGGTGGGGAATGACAGTGAGAGGTGGGGGCAGGGCAGAGGGGAAAAAAGGGGAGAAAAAAATGGGACAATTGTAATAGCATAATCAATAAAATATATTTTTTTAATGAAAATGATGGAGGGAAGAAAAGAATAACGAAGTTGAAATTATCAAGCTCTGGAGAGGAGTCTAAATTGTGTTCTGAACATCTGAATACTGTGTAATTAATGGGGCTCTGAGTCACTTGAATCACTGCCTTCAGAGTGCATGAATAGCCCTCTGAGCAAACGTGGACATATCTGCAAGCCAAACAAATCCAAGCCAGAACTGTGGAAAAGACATCAATGCCTTTGCTTAGAGACACTTCCCTGGGATCCGGCTCTATAGAACCGAGGGGGGGGGGGGCAGTAAGGTAGCCCTTGCCATGCCCTTTGAATGCTCTTCAATTCTCCATTTCCAGGACTGCAGGTACTGTGCATTAGTAGCCTTGAAAGTCTTAGAATTCTTCTGCATGAAGATTAACCAAATATACCCCCAGTGAGATCACTGCTGAATTTTAAGCAGCATTCCCAAAATTAATTAATTATCCTAGGCTTAGGCATTAGCCAGTTTCTTCCCCCTGAGCTCACATAAATGTGCTCTGGATAGACCTGAGTCATGCTGTCTTTGTCTTTACCTTGTGGGGATGGGCACTTCCGTCAGGCCTGAGAGAAGAACAGCTGGAGACAGCCTCACAAAGGCGACGATGGGGCGGTCCAGAGTATCCACCTCGCCAACCAGGACGTTGGAGGCCTCTGCCCCAGTGGGAATTTTTTTCATGAAATGAAGGTCCACCTGAAAGTCCAAACAACCTGTGAGAACTGGGGAAGCATTGCCTCCGACATCAATCACCTTCCTCAGGCCTTACATTTCTGTGTCGCTTCACAGTGTAACAAATGTTTTCTCATCCTATTTCATTTGATCCTTACAAGAACTCTGTAAGTTGGGTAAGATAGATCTTATTAGCTCCAGTTTTTATTTTAAAAAATGAAGCAACCAAGGCCCAGAGAGGTGAAGTTGAGTTGCTTGGGATGACAAAGCTTTTAGAATTTAAATACAGGTGCTCTGACTTGAATTCCATTACACATGTTCCTCGAAAAATGTTTTTAAAGTTCTATGTCAAATATTTTCTGTTTTAAAATACTTGACTGCTTTGTCAGAGGTTTCAAGGTTTTATGAGCAGAGATATAGCCTGGCACTACCTGCATTAGCAAGGTAATGTCAAGGACAGCCCAGCACAAGAAGAGGCCTGAACCAGAAACTGCAGTGAGGCCTCAGACAACAAAGTCAAGGTCCCCAAGAAGAGTATCAACCACAAAGTAGTTTTAGGAGACAGTAGCAAAAATACTGTTTCAACAAAACCCTCAGAGGTAAGAAGGAGCTGCTGGAGAGCAGGTGCCAAAAAACAAATCTGAAAAATCAGGAGGCCTGTGTCAGGGAGGATTATCCGTGCACGTTTCAGTTCCAGCACGTCAGCCCTGGCGGGACAAGCTGGTGAGTCAGCCCCATCCGGGCTGCAGCAGAAGGAAGAAGAGATGAGCAGACAGGCCTCCTTTTCTGCAGAAGGGGCGCTGGTCTTGGAAAAAGGCTGTTGAAATTCCAAAGCTGACTCTGGGTTCCACTACAGATACGCTTAGGCCTGTAAGCCAACTTCCTATGTCTCTGCTCACCTTGCTTAAATCCACGGGGCTGTGTTCACAATTCACTCCATTTTTTACTTCAAGATTTGTAGCTGGAACAGACTGAGGAGACACGGTTTGACCTATTCGGAGAAAATGAAACAGAATTCTCTGAGTGCCTGCCCTTTCCCCATCTGACAGACCTCATTCACGACTGATTAGCTATGACTGACAATCTCCTGCAAAGACCACCTAAAGACATAGTTAAGGTGGCCAAGAAGCCAGGACCACACATGCCTATCTCCTTGCCTACTAGTCAGTGGTGAAGGGGGACAGAGGTGTTAGTGCTCCTGCGCCTTCTTCCTGAGCATCTATGTAACTAACCCTCTTTTCTTCCTCTGTTGGATCAGTAATCCTTAACCAAGAATGGATATCGGAGACTCCCATGGAGAACTTTTCAAATATACAGATTCCCAGGTAAATCCCCTACAAAACATGACTCAGGAAATGTGGGGACAAGGAAACCAATGTAGATTAGGCCCTGCCCAGCTACAGAAAAGGAAACCAGTCAGTAGCTGAAATTCACTGAGTGCACCTGGCTAAGGACCTTACATGAATTAAGTTATTGAAACCTCACAATAAACTTATGGCATAGAACCTATTATTCTTATTTGACAGAGGAAAAGAGGAGACTTAAAGAGGTTGAGGAGGTTGCCCAAGGTCACACACTTTGCAAGTGGTAAAGCCAGAATCTCAAGCCTAAAGTTGGGCTTAAGAGTCTATACTATTGTATTTTGCCTCCCTAACCTGTTTCCTCTTTAAAAATCTCCAGGTAATCCCAAATTCTCTGGCCCCAAATTATCCCCAAGGCGGATATCCCAAAAGCCACATCAGTGCTGAGGCCAACCTGGGGTGCAAACCTCTCACCCTGGGCCCACTGAGGTGTACCTGAGGCAGCATCCCTAGTGCCGCAAGAAATAGTCACCAGTCCCAGCCACCCACCTGCCAATCACAAAAAGTACTGTGTCTGAGTGAGCATGGGAGCATACTAGAGCAATACAGCCCTGCCCTCCAGTAACTTAGTATCTCCAGCTAGTTCCTAAATGTCTTATTAATAAAAAGAGAAGACAGTCACTCCTAATAATCTTACCATTTTTATCCATCGAATGTGGATCGGACTGCTTCTTGCCAACCTCAGCAAAGGAGCGAACAATGGGAATGAGGTTATTTCTCTTCTTTTCATTCTGATGGTGATGTTTTTTGAGAAGGGCTTCCCGTACTTTAACCCTCATGCTGTCACTCAGGTCACTGAACAGTTCTTGCTGGTCCAGGATCAGGTCTGGAAAATAGGCGCTTATCTGAACCCTCTAACTGACGGTCCACAGACCCACAGAGGCGACGTCAGATTGGGTACGAGGCCAGGGTCAAGCAGGAGGGGAGGCAGTGCAGCCAGTGTCAGTGAGATTCCTCCTCAGTGCCTGAAACGGCTGGTTGGTGACAGCAGCTGTGCTGAGCTATGCTTCATTCACCTAGTCATTGTTACTAGAAATAGAAACTACTGGGCACTGTGTGTGTGCCAGGAACTGTATTAGATTATCTAATCTGATCCTTATAAGAACTCTGAAAAGTGGCTGGTATAACAATTTTTACAGATCAGGAAACTGAGGCCAAAACATTACAAAATTCCTCAAGGTCTCACATCCAGTAAGATGTACAGAGCTAGGATTCAAACACAAGACCGTCCAACTCAAAGGCCCACAATATTACACATTTTGTTCCGTCATCCGCCAAAGGTCTTCTGCAGAGCCTTTCCAAGACTTGGACGCTGCTGCAATTCACCGCCAACGTGAACACATCAGGTACCTACTGTGGAGAACTATAGCAGTTTTACCCCCACCCTATGAACCTACTCCCAAGCCTCCCCCTAACTTCAACTTGTTCCCAACCCAACTTCATCCATGACTATCCAAGTGCTAGCAGCAATAAATACAGAAAATCTATTTGCAAATGTTCAAGCCAAAGATCCATGCTTCTCTATATTTAACCTTTATATTGTTTGGTTCCTTGCCCCCATATTAACGTGCTTCAGGATCCCTTTTCTTGGAAAAAAAAAAAAAAAAGAAAGGAATATCTACCCCAAGTCCTCCTTTATCTATCTATCTATCTATCTATCTATCTATCTATCTATCTATCTATCTATCTATCTCTCCCTCTCTCTCACTCTCCCATCACTTAAAGTTTTCAAAACAAAAATTCCTCAGCCCCCTGCAATTAGGCTACTTCAAAGAAATTCCTTTTGATAAAATCATTAATAACCTTCCAGTTGCTAAAGCTGATGGATGCTCCTAGTTCTTACCTAACCTGCCCTCTCTGTGGCATTTGACACTGATGAATTAAAAATTTCTTCCCTCTTGGCTTTTGTAGTGGTTTGAATGGTGACCCCACAAAAATCTGTCTGTATATTACTCCCAGACCTGTGAATGTGACCTTATTTGTACAAAGGGTCTTCGAAGATGTAATTAAGGATCTCCAGGTGAGATCATCCTGGATGATATTGACAAACAGCATTATAAGAGAGAGACACAAATCCTTATAAGAGAGACACCGGACACTGGGAGCTAGAAGCATCAAGGAACAACTTTCTGCTAGAGTCTTCGGAGGGGACACAGGAGCCCTCCCTGGTGACCTCTCCTTTGTGTCCCCACGTGATCCCAGAGAGAGAGAGAGAGAACTACTTGGATACTTTAAATAAAGTGTGGAGAAATCCTTATTTAACCTGTCCGCCAAACCAAGCCCAGCCAGGGGAAAACTCCACCAGATGTTTCCCGAACTCCACTCCCGAAACGCAGTGACGGAACGCTCAAGCGCTCCGGGCAGCTCCGTCAGCATCTCCCCTTTGTATCTTGCCGAAAGAGTGGGGGGGACTTGGGCCCAATTTCTTACATGTCCTCCCTAACTGCCATGTTTTTAAAAACTTTCTTTAACTCTCTTTTCTCTGCACAACTTGTAGTTGCTCCTCATGCAAACACAGAAAGAACTAACTATTGTCAAAATATATCTCCACTGTTGCTATTAATTATTCCATGGCTATTTTCCCCACTAAAAAATGAGCTTCTTGACGGTGGGAACTGTATTGTACCTTTATGCCCCAGTGCCTAGTACATAATCAGGCATAAATAAATACAAAATAAATGTTGCTGAATTAACAGACAAATGGAAGACTAAACACCATGTCATTTGAATCCCATTGGTCTGTGAAGCAGTTTCCTAGTTGGTACCCATCCCACAGCTGAGAATGTTGAGGCTGGGAATGCTAAGTGGCTTGCCTACGGACACACAACCACTTTATTCTTCCCTCTATAGCACCCTTCTTAACTTACACAAGTATGCCTGTGTTCTCTCATCTCACCTTACCTGAAATTTCTTCTATGCTATTTGCACGCATATCCAGAAGGACCGTTCCATTAATAAGGCAGCTTCTTAGCTCAAAGAGACTGTGCAGTGAAAGGGTTGCCACATAGGGCTTGCTCCAGCGTTCTCCCCCATCCTCAACATCTTCTTCAAACTTCAACCACCTGAAAGCATTACAAAGAACTAGATGCCAAAGATAGAAAATGAGGACTTTTCAAGAGAGAATCTTTCTTGTAAGTCACAAAGAAAGATATCTGAATCAAAACAATGAACACTGTAATCTAACCTCTATGTTCAGGTTACATTGGTTAAGTGAAAACAGCAAGCTATAAAACGGTACAAGATTGGTATAGTTTAATTCCACTTTTATTTAAAGAAAGTTTTAAAAATACAAACACATACATGTATAAGACATTTTGCCTCCTCATGCAAACACAGAAAGAATTACAACTAGACCACAAAACATATATCACTTCGAACCATCAGAAAACTGAGTAGTATGCAAGCCTGCAAACCAAGGATTTAAAAAGCCACATTCATCCAGACAGGCAGGAGGAGCAAAGACATGTAGACGGGCAGAGATGTGGCAGTGGCAGAAGGGGCGCCCCACATTCACGTGTGGTGGAGGGATACCTTGGGAGTAAGCGATCCCAGCCCCAGGCCAGACCACAGATCCCAGGGTTCCAGCACCAGGAAGATAAATCCTCATAACTTCTGGCTGTAAAAAACCAGTGGGGTTTGGGGCAGTGGAAGAAACGGCCAGATTTTCAGGAGATTCCACTTAAAGGGCCCACATGGACTTAAAACATAAGCAGACCCACCCCCTCTGGAATTCAGCACCAGGGCAACAGCTGGAAGGGCGCCAGTTGTACAGGGGGAGGGCCAGGCAAACCTCCAGAAGCCAGGCAGCAGCACTGTCCCCTCTCTGAGCCCTTCCTGCACATAGAGCCACAAAGTGGAAAAGCAGGTTGCCGCACCCTGGTGATCACCTAAGGCTCCACCCTACAGTTTACAGGTGCCTTTTCTACAACAGCACACACTACTAAGACAGGGAGTCAAAGCTGCTCTACCTCATATACAGAAACACAGGGAGGCTGCCAAATTGAGAAGACAAAGAAATATGGCCCAAATGAAAGAACAGAACAAAACCCCAGAAAAAGAACTAAATGAAACAGAAATAACTGACCTATCAAATGCAGAGTTCAAAACACTGGTGATAAGGATCCTCAAGAACTCACTGAGTACGAGAACAAAATAAAAAAAGATCCAGAAAAAAAAATGAAGGTTATGCCAAGTGAATAAAGAAAAATCTACAGGGAACCAACAGAGGAGGGTAGGAAACTGGGATTCATATCAATGATTTGAAATTTGAGGGAGAAATAAGCATTCAACCAAAACAACAAATAGAAAAAAGAAAAACAGCAAGAAAAAAAAATGAGGACAGCCTCTGGGACATCTTCAAACATACCAACATCCAAATCATAGGGATGTCAAAAGGAAGAATAGAAACAGCAAAAAATTAAAAATTTATTTGAAAAAATAATGAAAGAAAACTTCCCTAATTTGGTGAAGGAAATAGACATACAAATCCAGGAAGTACAGAGAATCCCAAACAAGTTGGACCCAAAAAGGACCACACCAAGACACATCATAATTAAAATGCCAAAGGTTAAAGATAAAGAATCTTAAAAGCAGAAAGTTGCCTACAAAGGAGTTCCCATCAAACTGTCAGCTGATTTCTCAAAAGAAACTATGCAGGAAAGAAGCGACTGGCAAGAATTACTCAAAGTGAAGAAAAGCAAGGACTTACAACCTAGATTACTCTATTCAGCAAAGCTATCATTTAGAATGGAAGGGTAGATAGATAAAGTGCTTCCCAGACAAGGTAAAGCTAAAGGAGTTCATCATCATCAAGCCATTATTACAGGGAAGTGATAAAGGGACTTATTTAAGAAAAAGGAAAACATCGAAACTATGAACATTAAAATGACAACAAACTCACAACTATCAACAACTAAATATAAAAACAAAACAAAACAAAAAACTAAGCAAAAATCCAGAACAGGAACAGAATCACAGATACGGAGGTTATTGGGAGGGTTATCAGCTGGGAGAGGGAAGGGCAGAATGGAGGAAAAGGTACAGGGAATAAGAAGCATAAATGGTAGGTACAAAATACACAGGGGGAGGTTAAGAACAGTACAGGAAATGGGGAAGCCAAAGAACTTACATGCATGACCCATGGACATGAACTAAGTGCGTGACTGCTGGAGGGAAGGGGGTACACCAAGTGGAGTGGAGCAAAAATGGAAAAATTGGGACAGCTGTAATAGCACAATCAATAAAATATATTAAAAAACAAAACAAAAAACCCAAGATCCTCTCCATGTGACCTTTAGCAGTTTGCAAAGACAAATGACAAGATTAATTGCCCTTTCACTTGCTATCAGGTCGATTAGCGTATTTAACCCTCTCTGCCTGGAGAAAACGCCCATGGACATGGCAGGCATCCGGGAAGAGCTGTAGATGCTGTACTAGTTCCCACATTGCCTCTTACCCCGAGGCCCAGACATGCTGGCTTTGTATCATCCATAAGGCTGTGGGTCAGTTACTAGAGGAGCCCTAGAGGTCGCCCTGGTTAATCTAAGGGCCCTTCTTAGGTCTGAGAGTCAGACAAGCATGGCCACTCCACAACCACCCCAGGAAGCCTGCTCTTAGAATGACTATCATCTCAGGGGTCTCTATGAGGTTGGATTGTCCTATAGGAAGTTAAACTCTCCAAAAATTTGGGACTTCCAGTGAATTAAAACTCAAAAGACCCTATAGTTCAACTGCAGGAAAAGTCTGGACCTACACTTTGTCTTCTGGGCTAGGTCCTAGCCAAGGTGGTCTGATCAGGCATCTTGTAAACCAGACCTATAATATCAAGACAGCCTATGAAGTACTCTGGGCCCTGAAGAAATAAGAGAGGACCTCAACCCCAGGCTTAAGGTCAACTGGCATAGGTGTGACCAGAGACACCCCAAAGAGGCCAACATCAAGACTCCACAGCCCTGGCCGGTGTAGCTCAGTTGGCTGGAGCATCATCCATAGACCAAAAGGTCATGGCCTCGATTACCAGTCAGGGCACATGCCTGGGTGGCAGGTTTGACTCCCAGTCAGGGTGCGTGTGAGAGGCAACTGATCCGTATTTCTCTCACATCAATGTTTCTCTCCGTCTCTCCCTCCCTTCTTCTCTAAAATCACTAAGCTTGTCCTCAGGTGAGGATAAAAATAAATAAATGAACAAACAAACAAACTTAAAAAAAAAAAGACCTTTCACAGAACACTGTGGAACATCCATTCCCACGTCAGTCATCACCTCTCCCATGAAGAAATAAAAGACAGGACAGGCCTGTCACTTGCAGAAAGGTAACGCTGGCCTACCCACGTGTATCCTGACCCAGGTTTCTCAGACCTTACCTGGCTGTCTCCTTCCACTCGGCATCCTCTCCCTCCTTCATGCAGATCTCGTCCAGCTCTGTGAACAGCTCGTGAGGCACATGCTCTTCGTCGTCCTCAGTGCCGAGGATGAACTGAACGCGCTGAGAGGGTGTGTCTGGAAAATCAACCACAGAGAAAGGTCTGCCCCTGGCCTCATCTTCAACAGAAATAGAATTCTGCCATACCTAGCACATCCTGGGGGGCGGGGGGCGGGGGGCGGGCGGGACGATATAAAACTTCAGGAATATACACAAGATAATCCTAAACGTAGATCAAAAAATTCTTTATTCCCAGAATTTTTTTTTTAAATGTCTTCCGTGAAAGCAGTTTCATGGGAGGAAAAACACATTAACTGAGACTACTTGAAGAAAACTCATTGAGACACTGGAAATCTGACGAATTTGATTAAAAGGAATGCCCAATTCTTTTTTAAATTTTTTAAATCTATTTATTTTTATTTTTTTTTATACTGTCCTGGGATAGAATGGACCACCTCAGTAGCTTCTGAGGCCAATACATTTCCATCACCACAATTACTTTAGCAAACCTGGTTCCCTTCACTTCTGCAACATCATCCTGAGTTAGTGATGGAGTTTGCACTATTTATTTATTTTTAAAGATTTTATTTATGTATTTTAGAGAGGGAAAGGGAGGGAGAAAGAGAGTGAAAGAAACATCACTCTGTGGTTGCTTCTCATGCCCCCCCCAGGCATGTGCCCTGACTGGGAACCAAACTGGTGACCCTTTGGTTTGCAGGCCAGCACTCAATCCACTGAGCCACACCCAGCAGGGCGGAATGCCTAATTCTTTAACAAATGATTTTACCGAGTAAACTACTGATTTTGGGTATGTGAACCGTACAGTTTTGGGGAAGATACTTTTATGTCTTAGAAACATTCTTAGAAGCAAGCTCTGAAGACTCTGTAAAAGGGCTAGAGAATCAAGACCACCTGTTTAATGTCCCTCGCACATTCCCTCAGCATCACCAAGCCCCCCAGCCATGGACACCCACCCTCTCTCCCAAGGGTGATACCGTGGGCCAAGGCCTCTGGCCCCTCCTCCCCTTGACTGGCTCCTTTGCCCCGGCCTCGTCTTCGGTGCTTCTGGCCATGGGTTCGGTGGTGCCGATGGCTCTGCCGGCCCAGCGGCATCCGAACCCCCACATAGAGAGTCCTATGACCTGAAAAGAAGCAGAAGATCTATAGAGAAAATGCTTTTAGTAAAAGGAGTCTAGCATATTTAAGGGAGGGGAGAAGGGGAAGGGGAAAAAGATTACAGTTCTTTGGCCTGGTGGCAACCCCATCCTGATAAAACTTCCAGCACTACCAGAGCTCAGGATATAGAGATCTTGGAGTCAAAGGTCATGTTTGGCTTGCATGCGGCTGCAAACTTCACAGGAGTGTTCAGATCAAAGGAAATCATGTGTATGAATATTAAAGGCCAATACAAATGCTAGTTGTTATTATAGCAACTCAGAAAAGTGGTTCAGTGCTCGGGTCACCCTTCCTGGGCCCAAAACTTAACCTCATCATTGGCTTGTGATGCAGCGTTGTGACCTTGAACGAGGTAACTAATCTCTCTGTGACTGTCTTTAAAAAGGAATACCGAAAGTTTATTATTTGATTTCAGAGGGATTTTGTGAGCAGAAAATAAGAAATGTGTATAAAATTATTAACACAATGTCTGGAATAAATTTTAGCAGCCAATATATTCTAGGATCTGTTTTCATTATTTCTTTTTTCTGCACTGTAGAATACATGACGTAGGACAGCACGAGACCTGTTACAATGAGAGGGAGCATAGGCTGGGGTCATAGGGAGAGACGTGAAATATTGTGCCAAAATTTGAACGTGAAATGTTCAACATGAAATAATGATCCAACAGCATTCCTCTCCAGTTCCTCCTACCCTCACTCACTCATTCCTTCTATAAACCTTATTTTGTTCCATTCACCATTCAAGACTTCCGGGCCTCTCTCACCTCCACCTGGCTTCACCTGCCTTCCTGCCTGGCCCGGAGCCCAGGATCGGCAGCTTCCAGGAGGCTCCCACCCTCGCACACAGAGCCGCAGTCTTCCCCCGTTTCTGCCCAGTGACCAGCTGCTCAACACTCTAGATCTCAGGCTGACTCCCAACGTCTTCCATCACGAAAGCTGTTTCAGTTGTTAGTTACTATCTTCAAATCCACAGCCCACCCCACATTTCCTCCCTCTGACAGGTGACCTCGCTTTGTGCTGTAACAAAAAGACTCAGGGCCTCTCGTGCACAGTAAGTTCCTCCACATCTGCCTGGCTCACTTTCCTCCCCCAGCTTCTCCTCTTTTCCAGGCTAATGAGCATCGCCTCCGGCCCCTCTGGAGTCCTGCTCCAATAATTATCCTCCATCTCTTCTTTCCATCCATCCCTTCCACGGGTTTCTCCTGACTACACATGTGCTTGAGTCTCTAACTTAAAAAGAAATTTTCCCAACGCAGGGCTATTTTCCCAAGTTTCTGCCTTGCCCTCTTCCCTTCTCCATCAAACCACTTTCAAGCAGTCTGCCAGCCTCGCTCCTTTCCTCCACATCTCCTTGTCCCATGGCCTCTGCATGCCTCCACTAGGAATACAAACCCCTAGGACCTCCTCAGGAGAATGAAATGTGACCTAAGAAGGCCTCCAATTTGAAGGGAGCCACAAAAGGAATGAGTAACCAAAGTGAGCATGTTTGGAGTAAATGAAATATTCACCAGGGCATGAGAGGATTGAGAAAAGCCTAGCCAAACTCATCACTGACAGCTTAATTCAGAAAGACTTCCTAGACTTTCTGGCAAGAGTTACCAACTCTTCATTTCTTTCTGTCCCCAGCAATGGGGTTTCCTAAGACTGTGCTCAGCTTCTCCTTTGGATGTTCCTCGACCATGCTCTCTACTTCCCACTGGAGTTCAAATGCCCTGGGGTGCTGCTTTAACACCCCTTCATGGATTTGCGTGTCACCCTTGCGCAGGGGTCATGCTAATCTTCTCTGTGTGGTTCCAGTTTTAGTTTATGTGCTGCTGAAGCAAGCCCTTTAACACCTCTTTATTTCTCACTCATTTTCTTTGTCCTCCCCTATCTCTCAATATCCAAAGTGATGAAGCAAAATAAAAAGGAAACCGTGAGGATTAGATGGGAAGATGATCAGAGGATAGTCAGCGCACTGAGAAGCGGTGAGAAGGATAAAGTAGTCAGTATCTGGTAGAATCACACCTCTTATCCACTTCCTGTCTCAGGCCAGTCCTGTTGGCCTGTGCACATCTCAGGACATTTTTGACGGGCAGGTTTCTACACATAATGTAGTTGTCTTACAACTTCACTGAAGCAGAACTATCGAGTAGGAAGAGGGCATTTGCTAAGATGTGGGATTTCAGACCTCTGATGTTATCAGTGAAAACTATAAAGTACGAAAATGACTAAATTGAATACCATCTTAATAAAATACCACCTATTAACTAACAATGTTCGATGACAGTACTCAGTGAGGTTCCTGTGGTACCCCACTGACATCAGGCTGGAGTTACCTATAGTGCCAGATCCTGTCCAAAGGGCTGGGGAGACAGTAGTGAACAGCACAAGATCCCAGTCCTCAAGACACACACTCTACTTGGGGAAGGCAGACATCTTAAAAACGAAAGCGTATTATTTCAACTACTGATAATTAGTACGAATAAAATATGGTAAAGTGCTAGAGAGTCTGTGGTAGGGGTAGGAGGCAGAAGGGAGACTGGAGCTAAGGCAATTAGAAGAGACATCCCAGTGATGAGAAGGAAAAACCCTGAGAAGACCCGGGAGAGGAGAATTCCAGGAAGAGGGAAGATCAAGTGCATAGGCTCTACGACGGCAATGTGCGGGGCTGGTTCCAAGGCAAAGGGACAGCGGGTGTGGCCAGAGCAAGGTGAAAGAGGAAAGGAGAGGAGGGGGAAAGGTTAGAGAGACAGACGGGGCAATCATGAGGAACACGGGGGCCATGAAAAGCATAACCAGATCCTGGAGAATCACTTCAACCACCCCCTTAAACGGTGGCCTCGGTGATGTCAAATCAGGTGTGTCCAGGTAGAGCTGGGCTTAGGTGAAGAACAGTCTGAAGGGTAATGCCAGTCCTTCAGTAGAGCCATCCCAGCCACGTGCTTCCCCTCCCCAGCAAATCCCCCGGAAGGTTACTGGCCAGCTATGGGCTCCCTTCTCCTTCACACACTCCAGATACCTCCACCGGGCTCATGCTGGTACACTGCTAGTATCATTTAATTTTAACTACATTTCATTGACACTATTAAATAAAGTAAAACAAGGAGGCTGGACTAAATGACTTCTCAGGTCTTGTCTGGATGATGGCTAGGTTCTAATGTTCAAGACCCTGGAAAGGCTCGGGCTAAGGCCTTCTTTAAAGAAGTTATGATGGTTCAATTGTTCTATCTTTACTTACTAATGCAAAAAGATATTATGAAAGGGCCTCAGTAAATGTCTACTGAGTAAATAATGTATGCTTTTGCTTGGTATTTAAATCCCACTAGGCAGGTCTGCAGCACCTGTAAGATGGGGAAAACATCTTACAGAGAGATGCCTTTGATAGCTCTGTAGGAAGGTAAAGCTTAAGTCTTAGAGAAAGAAGGCTCTGCCTTCTCTAAGAAGTTTTTTGGTTTAATCAATGCTCACAAATATTAGCCAACCACAGTGCTTGCCCTTTGAAAACACTGGTGAGATAAGCGAGATAAGGATAAAAACAAGTGCCAGCAGAGATCAGAGTTAAGCAGCTACCAAAAAATGTAGTGCAAGTTTCTAGGCTGGGACTCTGAAGCAGAAACTTGGATTTCCTGAGTGAAATCAGCAGAAAAGATGACAAATGGACACTAGGCAATGACTAGAGCACCAGTTAAATCCAGTCCATCCAACTGGTTTCTGGCAGCGCGGCAACGTCACTAAACTAGTCACGTAGTCACTCTCTGGGGCATCCAACTGCTCCCCCACCCACTCATCTTCATCTCCCTCATCTACCTATCACCTCACCTCAGACTCCACCTGCTTCCCGTCTAATTCTCCATCCTTTTTTCCAGTCATTGCCAAATCTATTCTTTGGGGGGGCTACCTGTATTCAAATACAAGTATTCATTTGTGAAACTTAGGGGGAATATGCAACAGTATATTTTGAAAAAGTACATATGTATACAAAGGCAGAGAACAATCAGTGAACTGGGACTGGATATTGTGGAGCAGGACAGAAATTACAGGTGGGACCCACTCTGCAGATGGAGACTGGATTTGCCATTCAATGCTCACAGTTTACCTGAGAGCACAGACAGAACTCATTAGCACACACAAAAGGTGCCCCACTCCCCTGGGCTGCAGGTTGACTCAAAGTCAATAACCACAGGGGGGACTGTAACAGGAGGAGCAGATGCATGCCCTTTTTTCTTTTAAATTTGTAAGTAGGACCAGATGACTCTTACGCATTTCTTTAAAATGTATTCTAAGGCACTAAACGTACTGTAGGATTCATATATCTAGTAGTTAATCAGGAATAATGATCTGCCAGAAAAAATGGAAACAACCATTACTCTAAAGCCACTGCCTGTGTCCTCCTGGGACTGGGAGAGCCCACTGGAGCGCGGCACGCACGCTCGCTCTTCGTGGGTTTATCTTCGGAAATCAGTTCTAATGTTTGCTTTTGACTCTTCCCGTACATTAGAAAATAAAAAAGCAATGTCATGGCTTAATGCGCCATCTCCTACTGATGGAATCAACTTATACAAAAGACCCACATTTACAGAAGTCTAGTTGTGAAAATGGGTGAGGAAATGGTTTGTCATGCGGGGTAGACAGTTTGAAATAAAGGGGAAGGAAGGTCAGGGATTTATCTACAACCACAAAACCTTGAATCACAGCATACATATCAAATCAGAATATAATTCACTTGTCTCCATTCAAAGTGAGACTGATTTTATCCCACACCTTTAAGAGATGAAGCCACATGGGTGCAGTCTCATGAAGTCCTAACGCTGCTCTCAGAGTGAGTCTGGGCAGGACTCCCAGCAATGCCAGCCCTACAGCAGACCCCTCTTCTCTCCAGAGCTGCACCAGAACTACATCAGGAGGCCTGAGAAGCAGGCACCATTTGTCCTCCATTTGCCTGAAGTGCTTTTTTAAAATAGTGCTAATATAAATGAAATTCTAGTTTTCAAAAAGGTATAAGTGTAAAGAACACTCATTAATGACACTTACTAATGACTACTCCTTATTAATGACATCATAATAGACAGCTATCCTCTACGGCAAAATGCAGAATGCATAAAGAATAGATGATGTCATCAAGGAGAAGCTGCTCCTACTGCCAATAACTCAGCTAGCTCATCTCTGTGCATGAAACACAGTCCTTGGGATTCAAGAGAGTTTTCCCAACTTTATTACTCTACTCTCAAGTAGATAATAGTGTTTATAAATGGTTACCTCCTTGCTGAGAACAAAGGTATAGGGGCCCAAACAACTAAACTGAGTGCAACGTTACCCCCATGGAGCACTGAGAGGGTAGAGGCAACAGGGAAGAAGGAGGGTGGGTAATCTATTAACACGTTTACACAATGGAGCAAGGTGTTGGGGTTGAGCCATTGATGCTGGATACTGTCCTCCTGCTGGCAGTGTGGTAGAGCAGAGAAAGCAGACTTTCATCCGAATCTCCTCCATCATTAGGCTGGATCAGCGTTTTTCAACTGGTGTGCCACAAGAATTTTTAAAACATGCAATATCCAGACAGCTACATGCAAAAAAATTAAACTTAATCACCAACTTACACCATACACAAAAATAAATTCAAGGTGGATAAAAGAATTAAATATAAGTTGTGGCACCATAAAAGTCCTAGAGGAAAACACTGGCAGGAAAATCTCAGATATTCCATAGAGCAATATCTTCACTGATATGTCCCCTAAAGCAATGGACATAAAGGAAAGAATAAACAAATGGGACCTCATCAAATTAAAAAGCTTCTGCACAGCTAAAGAAAACAGCATTAAAATGAAAAAAGAACCAACTATATGGGAAAACATTTGCCAATGATATCTCAGACAAGAGTTTGATCTCCAAAATATATAAAGAACTCACATGACTCCACTCCAGGAAGACAAAAAACCCAATTAAAAAATGGGCAAAAGACTTGAACAGACACTTCTCCAAGGAGGTCATCCAGAGGGCCCAGAGACATATGAAAAGATGCTCAGCATCACTAGCCATCAGAGAGATGCAAATGAAAACCACAATGAGATACCACTTCACACCAGCCAGAATGGCCATCATAACATCATATACAAATCAACAAACAAGTGCTGGAGAGGATTCAGAGAAAAGGGAACCCTAGTGTACTGTTGGTGGAAATGCAGACTGGTGCAGTCACTGTGGAAAACACTATGGAATTTCTTCAAAAAACTAAAAATGGATCTGCCTTTTGATCCAGCAATTCCACTGCTGGGATTATACCCTAAGAGCCCTGAAACAGCAATCCATAAGAACCTATGCACCTCAATGTTCATAACAGCACAATTTACAATAGCCAAGTGCTGGAAGCAAACTAAGTGCCCATCAGCAAATGAGTGGATTAAAAAACTGTAGTACATTTACATAATGGAATACTATGCAGCAGAGAGAAAGGAGCTCCTATCCTTTGTGATGGCATGGATGAAACTGGAGAGCATTATGCTGAGTGAAATAAGCCAGACAGTATAAGACAAATACCATATGATCTCACTTTTAACTGGAACATAATCAACAAAAGAAAAAAGCAAACAAAATATAACCAGAGACATGGAAATTAAGCACAATCTAACAATAGCCAGAGGGGAGTGGGGAGGGGACAGTGGGGAGAAGGGTTTTCAGGAACTACGATAAAGGACACAGGGACAAAACCAAGGGGGAGGGTGGGAGCAAGGGAGGGAGGCAGGTTTGGCTGGGGCGGGGGGAGTGGTGGAGGAAAATGCAGACAACTGTAATTGAACAATAAAATAATTTTAAAAAATAAAAGAAAAAATACAGGAAAGACAAAAAAAAAAAACATGTGATACCTGACTATTTAGTCAGGGGCACTGACCTCTTTTTCCTTAGACTGTCAAGTAAAAAAAAGGTGATAGCCGACACAATAGTTGTTTCGTGTGAATGAATCAAAAGTAAACCTACCTTTTGTCAGATTGGCAAAAAAATATGCTTTATGGTGTGCTGCAGAACTTTAATTTTTTTAATTGATGAGAGAGAGAGAGAGAGAGAGATCAATGTGAGGGAGAAACATCGACTGGTTGCCTCCCACATGTGCGCCAAATGGGATCAAACCTGCCACCCGGGTACGTGCCCCGACCAGGGATCCAACCTGCAACCCTCTGGTGCACGGGACAACACTCCAACCAACTGAGCCACCTGGCCAGGGTGCTGTGCCACAGAATTTTAGTAATTAGTTTATGTATGTCATAAGATGGAAAAGATTGAAAACTGCTGACCTAGATGACCATAAGCAGTTTCCTCTAAAAAAGAGGATAAAATCTACCTGCCTTAGTTGTTGAGAAGATTAAAAAAACTTGCACGAAAATCCTACCCAAATGCCTAACAGCCAAGGGTCATTTAAAAAATGTTACCCTCCCATCCCCCACACACCCTTCCCTTCTTCCACCTGCTAAAACCCACCTTAGTTCCTCCATCTGGTTACAATAACTTGGAAAACGTTGACCTTGATATATCCAAACTCCACTGACCTCCACAAAGCCACCCACCTAGGTTCTCATGGTAACATATCCAGAGGCTGAGTCAGCCTCTACAGCTTTCACTCTCCTCATCCGAAGGACAAGTTTTCTCCAGGGACTGTACAACTTTGATGGGAAAAAAACCCGTTGTGGGAACAAGGAGTACAGAGAGTTTTTCACATGCTGTTCCGGACTCATTGGAAAGTTGCTGCATCATAGCCTTCCACATTGCAGGGGAGGCTGCAGGAGTTCACAAAGGCCTTTGAGCCAAATGTGGGCTTTCATTAAAGCCGAACTAGACAGGAGCCTTTCTCTAATAAAACCGGGCATCGCCACTTATCAGGAAACGAGGACCCAGAGGAAAAAGGAAAGCAGAAGGACACCACACAGGGCTCGTGTGGGGAGCTAGGGGTGAGGCAGGAAAGAAAGGGAGAGAAACCCTAACAAGGTAAACTACGAACAGCAGGTAATAGGAATGCCTCTTCCTCTCCACCTCAGTTGGATTTTTATGTAACTGCTGTGAACTCTTACAGAATGTGTTATGGGTATGTACGTATTTTCTTGTTTACATGAAAACACCAGCCAGAAATGGGTCTAGTTAGAAGGGAACAGCAAACATTAGAAATGGGATAAAAAGAGGATTTTACAGCCAAACTGAGTTTTAAAAATTACTTGTATTTTTTCCTTTGAAAATTTTCTTTATATTTATATTTCTAAGAAGCTGTCAAGAACCAATAAGCTGACCCGAGCACCTCACACTCCCATGGAATGGGCCATGTACTGACATTCACATTGGACTTGACGTTCTCAGAGCACTGTCTCACAGGCTGCCTGTTAGATGCAATAGTGAGAGGCATTATCATCCTTGCTTCTATTGAACAGACAAAGAAACTGAGGCCAAAGGAAATTAAGTGCTTTCCCCTCAAGGCCCTACAGCAGTGAGAGTTAGGGTTCAAATCCAGGTCCTCTAATGACGATGCGACTCCTCCCACACCAGGTGGCCTCTCACTAATCTCCCCCATTACGCAGAACAGCGGCTCTTACCTTCCAACTCTTCTTTCTCATAGTGGATGTTGAGAATTGTACTGGTCCCACCCTGATCCACCACAGCTTCTTCATCTGGTCTCTAGTAAAATACAAACGAGTAGTCAGAGGAATACCCACACATTTATTCAAAGTCTGTCAAGCACCACGTGCCAGGCTCTTTGTGCAACCCTTGAAAGAAAACCAGGATCGCTCACACATTTTTTAAAACTTGAACCTCACAGTAGCTTTGATGGGCAAACATGGCAGTCACTCTCTTTCGCATTTAGTAAAGGAGCAGCCACAGACTCAGAGAACATCGAACACTTCCTGCCCAAGGGCACCCACGGGGTAAAAGGCAGAGCTACGTCTGAGCCCAAGTCTTATGACTGCAGAGCTCAGGCCTTTTGCCTCTGCACTCATCCACCCGTTCTTGTCACATGTTGGTGTTTTGTAAGGGCTGTCAACCACATTGTGTCATCTGGTGTAAACTGGTCCCCTTGGCCTCTGCAGCGTTCAAGCCTGTATAACTAACACTCTGTCCTTGACATACTCCAGCCTGCTCCTGACTAGAGCTTCTCTGTCTCATCCTAAGGCTCACCTTCTTCTTTTACATATAATTCCCAAGGGGGAGCGGTCTACTTCTGTTTCCCTTGTTTAAATACTACAATTTCAACAGCTGCCTGAAAATGGTGTGGCTCAGTATTTGACAAACCACTGGAATGCCACAACTCAAGACTCCGGTGTCTAAAACCCAACTAATCTTCCTTCCAAAACTAGCAGTCTGTGCTCATTCACTTACTCCTATCTAAGACATCATCATTCCTTAGACCACATTAGGAATTTCAAATGTATTTATTCATCCATGCCATGTATATAGTGCCTATTACATGCTTTCATGGAAAGAGTTCTTTTCTCACCAAAACCTCCTTCGCAATAACCCTCGAATTCACTCTCATCTCACATCCACTCTGTCCTATACTCTCCAACACCTTGAGTCACACTAAACATTTTTTTCAGTTCTGGAAGCACACTCACTCTCTTCCCTGAGTGCCGCTCCTTCTGCCTAGAGCTATGACACCCTGCCTACTACCCCCACCTCTCCCACCAGCAACTAACACCCATCATTTCATAGGTCTCAGCCTAAATGCACTTCCTTGGAAGCCTTCCCTGACTACTTCTCTTCTAAACTAAGCTAGGCCGCGCCCCTCTTCCCATTTTATGCCCTCATAGCACCGTGTACTTCTCCTTGGTAATGAAATGTCTCTGCTTCCTAAGGGAGGGACCCTATCTGTCTTCCTCAGCACTGTTTCCACTGTTTCCCCAGAACTCTGCACAAAATTTCACATAGTAAGTGCTCAATAAACCTTTGTTTAAAAGAATGAACATAATGGCACCTCCCTTAGCAAGACACACTACACCCTGAATTATTGCCAAAAAAAAAAAAAATCTTACCTGATTTCCCTGCTAGTCCATCTTCCTGACCTGACAGGCTCCTGCCAGGCTTACTGGTCCCACAGGTACGGTGCACACCCCCCACTTCACGCCTGCCCTCCCACTGTCCAGCATCTAACAAGCCCCTCCCCAACTCTCCAGCACTAGAACCTCCAGATTCTGCTCATTTCCAGTTTACTGTTCTAATTTTACCATTTTGTAGTTATCATCTATGCCCCCAAATAAGGCAACCCTGAATATAAGACAATCAATTTTTCTAAAATAAAGATTCAAAAAATGTTTTAGAAGCCAATCTGAATACTTTTAGGGAAGTAGATGAAATACTCAAATGTCGGTTTGTAGTATTTATTCAGTTTCGTAGACATGTTTAAAAGTATGTATTATTACTACTATGGAATAATCTCCAAGATATAGTATTAAGTTTAAAAAATAAGATGGAGAAAACTGTATAATTTTTGTCTAAGAAAGGGTTTTGGACCACAAGCATCTGCTTACACTGAAAAACATAAAGGAAGAATAAGCCATAAAAGATGCTCTAAAATAGTTACCTGGAGAGGGTGCAGAGGAAAACAGACAAGGATAGAAACTGAACTTCTCTGAATATACCTCACTTTACAAATATATTACATAATTTTAAAACGAAATTTAAAGTTTAAAAAGCAATTCCCAGAAATTAGAAAAATGAAAACCAATGCCAAATTGATGGCATAACTATTCCAAAAGAAATTATTCAAAGTAGCTTTAAAACATAATAAACTGAATATCCTTAGTGGCATATACCCTAAGGACAAAAAGAATTGAAAAAGATCTTAAACTGCTTTTTAGTTACCATATGGTTGGTTGTAGTGTTGGTGTTATTGTTCTGAGACTGTTGTGTATCGTGAGAATAAACAAGGGGAAAATCATGTGAACTTTTCCTGTCATTCTCAGTGTGACTGAGAGCTGGGTTCTCAGCAGTGGCAAAAGGAGGTACAGTCAGTTGTAAGACAGAAGTAAAAACCAATGCAGTCTTGAATTTGAGTTGGAAATACGGACAAAAATATATGATGCGTTTTTTTAAATTTATATTTCCTAGCCCTGTCCACTGAAAAGCCCTAGAAAAAACAGTCAGCCGGTAGCAATGAGTATCATTAGCACCTAGATTGTGGTCTCTTAAAGTACGATTTTCTACTAAAAGACATTTAACTAGGGTTGTGTCAAAAGGACTCAGTAGCCAACTTAAAGGGGTCCCTTGCCAAAAATAAGACAATTTCAGCATTAATAAGGCTAATAAATGCAACCGATTGAATATATTAAATATATTGAAAATCCATGTGTTCACAATGTCACTTTAAAAATTAAATAATTGGTCAATAGTGGAAGATAATGCTAATAAACTAACTCATTGCTTTGAAAACTAGTAAAAATTAATTGCAGTTTTCCTATATAAATTGTACCAAAAAGTAGATGAGAGAAGTTTCTTATTATAAAAAAGAACAAATAGCAATGAGAACACTGCCATTCTGCAGTCCGAATGGATTACCCTGATTTCCAACAGCCACCACCATCACAGAGCCAGACAACAGACGGCCTGTGCCCCTAACAGGAGGCCTTGTCACACGACCCGTGAGGCAATCGTGCCGAATAAAGCGTCCCTGGGTCTGATCAAACCTCTAGATCCAAACAGCAATCACTGAAAATACAATGAATCGGAGCTCCACAGAAAAACACCGTAGGAATACAATCAGCAAAATCCAGACTGTGGAAAACTACAGAACAAATCCTCCCCTGCCCCCTTTCCAAAAACAAATAACTGCAAGACGAGAAAGGGAGAGACAGAAGAGGACAGAAGGTGACACCAACAGGTTAAAAGAAACAGTGAACCAACCACAATATGTGGCCTTTGGGTCTTGACTGAAATTAACTGAAACAAAAATTTTAGTTATTTTTAAAATAACTTTTTAAAAGTTATGACATTTGAGACAATTGGAAATTTGAATATTGAATAGATCTCTCATGATATTAAAGAAATTATTATTTTTCTCTTTAGGTGATACTGTGCTTATTTTTTTAAGAATCCTTATCTTTGCCCTAACTGATGTGGCTCAGTGGGTTAGGTCTCATCCTGCAAACCTACAAGTCGTCAGTTCGATTCCTGGTCAGGGCACATGCCTGGGTCACAGGCCAGGCCCCAGATTGGGGATGTACAAGAGGCAACCAATTTAAGTTTCTCAAGAAACTTCAATCGGCTGCCTCTCGTACATTAATGTTTCTCTCTCTTTTTCCATCCTTTACTCTCTCTCTAACAATAAATAAAAATAATATCTGCCCTGGCTGGTGTAGCTCAGTGGATTGAGCATGGGCCTGTGAAGCAAAGGGTCACCTGTTCAATTCCCAGTCAGGGCACATGCCTGGGTTGCAGGCCAGGTCCCCAGTAGGGGACACATGAGAGGCAACCACAGATTGATGTTTCTCTCCCACTCCTTCTCCTTCCCTTCCCCCCTCTCTAAAAATGAATAAGTAAAATATTTTTAAAAAAATAATTTTTAGGGACATCCACCAAGATGGAGGCATAGGTGGAGACGCCGTGCTTTCTCACACAACCCAGTTTAGAGACGACAAAATATTAGCAACAGAAAACACAGCCAGAACACAGAAAATTGAACTTTTTGGAAGTCTGTTAACAGCAAATTCTTCAGCCTGACAGGTAAGAGGGGCAAAGCCAGCAGCTGGCAGAGTGGGGTTGCACAGGAAAACTCGGTCAGACGGACTCAGGTGCTCGGATCCCAGGCGTGGGGCTGCAACGGGTGGACCCAGTGAGGGCGCAGGGTGGCGGGTTGACTGTGGTCGCACATTCGTGCACAGATAGACCGGGGTGAGAGTGGGCGGTGAGACAGACCAAGCAGACCCCAGCGGCGAGAGGCAGCAGAGGGAGCCGCCATTCCCCCGCTCTGACCCCGCCCCCACATAAGCGTCACAACCCAGCGACCAGAGCAGCCCTGCCCTGGTGAACACCTAGGGCTCTGCTCCTCATACTTAACGGGTGCGAACAGACCAAAAAATGGCTCAAGAAGATCTCAAAGCCCCAGAGCCCATAACTCTAAGCAACAAAGAAATGGCAAAACTTTCAGATGCACAGTTCAAAACACTGGTGATCAGGATGCTCACAGGACTGGCTGATTTTAGTCACAAATTAGAGGAACATATGAAGGCTAATCTAATTGAAATGAAGGGAAATGCACAGGAAACCAATAGTGATGAAAAGGAAACTGGGACTCAAATCAAGGGAGTGAACCAGAAGGAAGAAAAAATTGGCCAAACAGGAAAATATGAAGAAACAAGAATTCAAAAAAATTAGGAGAGACTTAAGAACCTCCAGGACATCTTTAAATGCTCCAACATCCAAATTATAGGGGTACCAGAAGGGGAAGAGGAAGAGCAACAAGTGGAAAACTTATTTGAACAAATAATAAAGGAGAACTTCCCCAATCTGGCAAAGAAAATAGACTTCCAGGAAATCCAGGAAGCTCAGAGAGTCCCAAAGAAGTTGGACCTAAATAGAAACACACCAAGGCACATTATAATTACATTAGCCAAGATGGAAATGAAGGAGAGAATCCTAGAAGCAGCAAGAGATAAGGGGATAGTCACCTACAAAGGAGTCCCCAT